TAGTGGTACAATTTTAGAACATATACCCCAAGTAGATTTAATTTCTGATTTGATAGTAAATTGGGAATAAGTAGAACTGTGGCACCTGCATCACATGAGTAACAATGTTTAATCCTCATCAGTGATTTTCAGCTCGGCTTATGTATTAGTGACTTGTTAAACTTTTAAAGCTACTATCCAGATTTAAAAACTATTATCAGAGTCAGGCATGGTGGTGCACACCTGTAATCCCAGTACTCAGGAGGCGGAGGCAGGAGAAACACAGCAAGTCTGAGACCAGCGAAGGCTACAAAGTGAGCTCAAGGCCAGCCTGAACTGCATAGTGAGACCCTGTCTCAAGAAACTGACAAACCAGCAAACAAACGAAAACTATTACCTGTCAACTAACGCTTGGGGTTTGTCTTCAGAGATTCTGATTTAACTTGTAGAAGATATGAGTCAGGATGTCACATTTTAAAAAGAGTGATTTTAATATATATCAGGGTTGAGAATCATTGCAACAGATATGTGAGATAATTATTTTTCTCATTTGACAAATAATGAAAGTAAAACTCAGGGATGGGATGCAGCATGGTAGTGCACTTGCTTAGCATGCTTGAGGCCCTGGGTTCAATCTCCCAACACACACACACTCACAAAACCCCAAAATTCAGAAGAATAAGGTAATTTCTACATAGTAGCAGGAGGAAATTTTAACTTGAGACTATCGTTTTCCCAGTAACATGATCTGGTTTTGAATATCTAAGATGCCCCACTAACCTCTTGCTTAGAAGAGGCTCAATTCAAGGGCATTACGGAGAGAATTACCTGCTCCTGTGAACTGAAGCTCTGTAAATACAGTAAGTTCTTGACATAAACATTCGAGTTGTGAACTTTCCAGGGGCACTGTATAAGATTCACTTTGTCAGGTTGCCAACAAATCCAATTTACAAATGTCCTCCCTGAAAAGAATTCACGTGTAAGTCAGGACTTAACGTAACAGCTTTGTGTTGATGCGGTAGTGCGGTTCAACGAAGAACCTGATTGTCTGATCTCTCTGACTCTTTCTGGAGCTTTAAACTGCTGCTGATGGGTAAATTAGTATGAGGCTGATTCTGAAATGGATAGCTACAAGATAAATTTAAAGCTCATTTTCTTTGTGAGATCATGAATATGTTAAAACCTTAACACAGATTAAGTTAATCCTCAATTATGAGCTGATTATACTGCTGCAACTTGTTTGGCCAAAAGCAGTTGAGGTCATAGGTACTGGCAAGTAAAGGGAATGCAAAGATCTAAATCCTAATCTCTGAGACTGTTTCCTGAATTGCCCACCCACACATGTGCCTGAAGGACAGATGATATTGAAAGGCTATGAGACACAAATCTATTCCAAATTTACCCTGTAGAAACTGTTGCTCAGTGCAAGGGTGGAAAATTACCAGCATCTCACGTGGTCAGTGACAAAGGCTATGGCATCTCATCGAGATGAACAGGACCCAGGCCATTGTTCACCAATTCCTAGCTCAAGTAGTACAGATGATTTCCCTAAACTTTATGGGGATGCTTCCTTGATTGGTGCTGGGCAGCAGATGGGAGCAGCTGAGGATGCTAAGATTCAGCTGAGTAACATTTTAGGAACAACTTACTGAAAAATCTTTTATTGAAGGGTCATCCACGGTCAGTCTGAGAGCTGAATCTCATCCAGAGATGTTTTGGTCACAGTGTTAGTTTACAGTGTTTTAAATACTTTTCAATCAATTGTAAATATTTAATTCTGGAGAGATTTCACATAAAAATCCAAATTTTTGGCATGAAATATAATGCAGAGAACCTCAAAGTCTAGATCACCACTGTATCCCCAGAGCTTAGAATAGTGCCTTTGAATGAGTTGGGGCTTTACTTACTTGTTTTTATTTTGCTTTGTTTTAAGGTGAGGTCTTGCAGCGAGGCATGTGCTCTCTACTGAATTTCACCCCCAGCCTAGAAAATTATTACTTCAAAAAAATGTTTTTTGGTACCGGGGTTGATTGAACCTAAGATTTTCCCACTGATCTATACCCCCAAACTTTTCATTTTTACTTTGAAGACAGGGTCTCACTAAGTTGCCAAGTTTGGCCTTAAAAATTGCAATCTTCGGGGCTGGGGATTTAGCTCAGCGGCATAAGCACCTGCCTTACAAGCAGGCAGTTGTGAGTTCAATCCCCGGTACCAATAAAAAGGAAAAAGACAAAAAAAAAAAAAAAATTGCAATCTTCCTACCCCAGCTTCCCAGAGTGATGGGATTGCATACATGCACTATTGCACCTAGCTCAGCCATTACTATTTATTGCTGACTAATATACTATTATAGGAATACACCACATTGTATTTATCCATTCATCATCATGACTGTGACAAAAAAATACTGCTGTGAACATTAATGTTAATTTAGATTTCTGGCATTTCTCAGAAGAAAATTACCCATTGTATATTTTTGTACTGAAAGCAATAATTTAAGTGTGTGTGCTTTAAAACAATTTTTTAAAATTCTGTTTTGGCACTTCATTTTTAAAAATATAGCTAGAGTTTCAGAAAAATCACTTACCACTTGGGACTTTATTGCTGAAAGCCTCTCTAATTCTTCAACAAAACAAGTCCGTTTTATCTGACTAAGCAACAAATCCCTCAAAGTGAGGGAAACTATCTCATGTTTCCTGGTATATCCATGATAACTACTGGTACCTATTCTTGGTATATGTACAGTGATAATCTAGATCAAGAAATGATAAGGCAGGAATTAAGCAACAGCCAATTGAAAGTTGTGGGAGGGAGGAAGTAAATCCTAACATAATTACTTTTTTTTGAGACAGAGTCTCACTATGTAGCCCAGGACGGTCTTGAATTTGTGGCAGTCCTCTGCCTCAGCCTCCTGAGTGCTGGAATTACAGGTGTGTGCCACATGCCCAGCCTCACAATTTACTTGATCTGTGATTATCCCTTGATCTGGTCTGTTGACATGGTTCCCTAAGGAATGCTAATTCAGATAGAATATATAGTCTGCGGATATTGTTCAGTGGCACAGTGCCTACCTGGCAAGTGTGAGGTCTTGAGTTTGATTCCTGCTACAAAGAAAAAAATCCAGATAGAACATATATAAATTTTATATGAAAAATGGATTATTTCTCTAGATCCTAAGAAAAAGTCACCATTATGTTTTCCTGATACACTGGGACAAACTGAAGCTTTTACGGCAGGGTAGGGATCAGCACTTGCCTCATCAACCAGTAGAGTTAATAAAGGCAGAAGAAAGGGACAGAATGAAGACACTGTAAGAGAATCAGCCACAAAGGACAGGTAAGGCCCTTTGGAGAGGGTCTGTGGAACTTGTGGAGTACTTTGTCATCATATCATTTTGTTAATATGAACAGATTAACAAAAACACGAGAGCAGGGAGAATGGATGCTAGCTTATCTATTGTAAAAATAGAAAAGAGTCATTCTGGAAACAAGAGAGGGAAAAGGACTTCTCATGGATCCCTGCCATGCTCATTCTCTCCCCACCCCCAGCCCTTTCCCTGTCCTTTTCATCACCTGGAAATTCCTCCCTACTCCCCTCGCTTATTCTAGATCCAACAAACGTTCCCTCGTCTCTGACTCCAGTGCCCTCCTCCTAAGCATTCCCTTAGCACATCCATTATGTGCCACACAATTCCCACTAGATTAAACATATTGTCTTGAAAGGTTCTTGTATGTGTGTTTTATAAAACCCCTTGTAAACTCCTTGACACAAGGGCCATTTCTTCTGCTGCTATTAGGTCTCCCACAGTGGTGATGGCCTAAGAGACCTTCTGTGTGGCCTTGCTGGCTGGTTGGTGAGAGAGTTCAGTTCAGCTCTCTTGCTCTTGCCAGCAACGAAAAGAGTGCACAATAGCGTCCTTTCACTATTAAATGGCAAATTCAAAGATAGAGGGGCCAAGAGAGTACTTGGACAGAATTATTCATTGTTTTAAATGCCTCATGAGCTCCAGATCCCAGAATCCTCAGGTTAGATGTGGAAATAGATGAAATGTGTAAAGTTATTAAAAAAAAAAAAGGGTTACATGAGTCCAGGAAAGGGAAGATTTTCTGTTATGCATAAATGGGTATTGCTCAAAATTGCCCATCTACATTTCATAGCTGCTAGACGTTCATAGTGGAAAATATTACTTTTTGTATTTCAATAACAACGTCAAGAAAAGATGAGATTAGGGAGAAGAAAATAGGAGAGGGGCCACACTGCCATTATTTTCATTGTTGAATGTTCCTGTGCCTTTTAGGATATAAATAGCAATCAATACTTAGGAAAGAAAGCTGGATTCATACTATTCTGAATTCTGGGTTTCTCCTTTTCTATGGTTATTTTTTGACTATCATGTGCTCTTACAAATTCCTGTCTTGTGATAGTTTCCAGCTGCACCACAATTCTTAAATCTTTTAAGCATTAAACACACTGAAGCATATGAGAATTGTTTGTCATTAAGCCTTGAGAAACTTCAGTTATTTCCTGGGAATTTAAGTGTGGCACACCCACCCACCCACTCAGTATGAAGGGGAAATTATTGTGTTGGCTTGTTTTTGTTGTTGTTATTTTGTTTTGTAATAATCTTGTGACATGGATGCCACATTGACTAACAATCCATGTGACACGCTGTCCACATTGCCCCATAGACTGCACTTGAAGAACTTCCTCTAGAATGAGACTAGACACGTAGATATTTTTATAAAAAAGTGAGAGACTAGTCATGCAGATTTTCCTTTTAAAGTCACCTGAACTGTTTCTTTATTAGATAAATGGGAGTCTAGTTTGGGTTCCAGAGGAGAGTGTGTATAGCTTTGTAAACAATGTTGAGTCTTTCAGTGTTCCCACTTTAATAAACTTGGGGCTCCGACTCATATTTAATATATGATTTTTCACAGGTACAGAAGAATATCCTCTGTCACCAAATGTGATGTCAGTCTTCTTTAACTCTCTATATAATTACTACACATTAAGAAATCAAGTCCACAGTTACATAATTTTTCTTTATAAACAGTGACAAGATTGTACAGAATCAATGAAGAGACAAAACAGACCTGGTCCACTCTGCCTGTATCTTGGAACAAGAGCAGCATTCATCCTAGAGATGAGTACCTTTCCTTTCAGAGAGAGAAGCCTTGATGTTGGGAAAAATCTTCTGAGTTATTTACTCAGCTAAAGACCTGAGGTGAGCGATTCAAATGGCCCCATAGCAATCCTTTTTTCCCGAGCAGTGCGTAGATCTTTGACAAGTGACAAGTGACGTCTGCTTTGTGTGTTTAGATCTAGGATTGGACTTTGTAACCAGGGATTCGGTGTACGTGGCTTCATAGGCTGCAAAGAAAGATTAACATATGAGTGCATATGGCACACATGTGCTTTGTGTGAAAGGTTCACCCAAGGTGAAAGTCTCTTTAGTGACAATTTGTTAGAATAGCTCTCTGAATTGCTGAACTAAGAAGATAGAATCTATGAGCACAAGATCTGTGCTCCAAGACCCTAGTCAGAAAGCCATCTGTATGTATGGAAGACTATTTGCTATATATCTACATACTTAATTTTTATATATCAGGCTAACAAACTGTTGAGTAAAACAGTTCTGTTCCCTATCCTGACAAGGAGATGAGGTCTGAATTTGGGGCAGTCAGATTTGGAGAATGGGCAGTACAGGAAAGCTGGCATGCAGCCCATCCATCTCTTGCTCCATTTCCAGGTCCATCCTGCATTCTGAGGACCTCCCAATTACTGTGGACTCTCCAGTCTGCACATCCAAGTTATATTCACAAAACGTCCAAACCACCTATTGGCCACTCCTTTAGTACAAGGCTTCCCATTGTTGGTAACACAGCCCAGCCCACCAAAGCCCAAAAGTGGGAGAGAAATTCCAGAGTTTCAGGTACCCAGAATATATTGTAAATAAGGTTGGTGTGGGCTATGGTAAATTGCAGATTTCTTATCCTTTGATGAATGGTGTGGTCAGAGGTAGGGGCTGAGTTCACCAAAGCTGAGGCCCAAGGGCAGAGGCCTCACTGATCCAGGGTGGTCCTGATTAGGTTACTGCTGGTCATCCTAACATGACCAAGTGCTCTACTGCCTGCCATGCTTACTAAAGTGCTGATGTGCCATGAAAATGAAGGACCATAGCTTGATAAGAACACGTCCTATGGTACCCAATATTAACATGGGTTGGAATAGGAGACAAAACTAGGATACTTTTAAAATGTACAGGGCCAGAAGCTAGTCTATAGATAGCTATAGTCTATAGTCTATAGTCTTTTTAGTTATCATATATATAAAACTCATAAAATAAACATTTAGCTCTTACTGATATCTAGTAAAAAAAGTATTCCCTGCAGCACTGTAAATGTACCATTCATTTTTCTTGTTTGACAGGAACTAAACAAAATGAAATTTATCAGAACATATGTGTTTATATAGAACAGGCTTATCTGTCATTATATATATTTATCTTTCTCTTCATTAAACAGAATTTTTTTTTGAGGTATTGGACCTTGAACTCAGACTTTTGCATTGAGTTATATTCCCCAGTTCTTTTTTTTTTTTTTTTTTTGTCTTTTTCGTTTTTACCGGTACCAGGGATTGAACTCACAACTGCCTGCTTGCAAGGCAGGAGCTTATGCCGCTGAGCTAAATCCCCAGCCCCTATTCCCCAGTTCTTTTAATTTTTTTTTTTTTTTTTTTGAGACAAGTTCCTGCCAAGTGACTAAACTTGAATTTGCAATCCTTTTGTCTCAGTCTTCCAGAATGCTAGGATTACAGGCATGCATTACCATAGCTGGCTGGAATATTTTAAAAATGTGTTACTAATTTGATGGAATTACTTCTGATTTTTTTTTTTTTGTAGGAGAGATTGAACCAAGATTGCTTACCTCAGGCAAGCTAAGTAACATTGTAACTTGAGCTACATACCATCTTTTTATTTTTATTTTTGAAATAAGGTCTTATACATTATGCAGGGTAGTAGCCTCAAATTTGTGATCCTCTTGCCTCAGCTCACTGAGTGGGTGGGATTACAGGGGCATACCACAGTGCCTGCCTATTTCTAATTTTTATGCATGACTATTCTTGAATTAATCTCACAAGACTACCCATAATATATGCCCACTCACACATCTGTGCAATCCCCTACCTTTTATAATATTCCTTGCATTACTAATAATTATTTCAGATACATTTACTGTATTATTACTGGTAAAGTAATAAGAACCAACATATTTATTCTCCTTTTATTACTCAATAATTGGGTAAATCAATTATAACGAACCATTTCTGTTTTTCTTTTTAGATGCTGAAGACTGAATCTATGGCTACATAAATGCTCTACCACTGAGCCACACGCAACCCTAAAAACCATATATAAAATTATTATTAAAATAATGAACTATGCATGGGCTACTGCTGGACTGGAACAGACAGAACCCAGCCTTTCCCTCTGAGTCAGCGCCATTCTCCGGCCGGAGTAGGGGAGAGAGAACAAAGCCACACCAGCAAGCAAGCCTAGTCCGGGAACCAGTGCCATGCATGGGTTGCCACCAGATTGGAACAGAGAGACCCCCCACCCAACACCTACCCATGTTGTAAGCGACAGGCTTATGCAGAGAAACACAGGCTGTGATAATAGCTGTTAAGGTGAAATGCAATTGGATGCCTGTGGTGCTTTGGTGTTTCACTAACATTGCAGGTCTATGGCCAGTGGTCTGATCATAGGTTCAGAGGATATTGGTGCACAGTGTGATATCTATTGGGGATCTCCTTCTGAGAGTTGCAGCCATTGTTGATTCCCTATGGTCTTGTTTTGAAGTCCTGTATCATTTCCATTGTTTTTTTGGGTTGGGTTTTATTCTCTTTTGTCTTGCTTGATTATGTCAAATTCAATGGCAGGAGCAACTATCTCAAAGATAGCAAGATATATTATGGTAGCAATTTTGGATTTACTATTGGCTTGTTTTGAACTCCTTTATTGCATTCATTGTCTTGTTTTTATTGTTTCTATTCTATTCTGTTCTATTTGATTTTTACTATGCCTAAAGTTATCTGCAACTATTTTGAAGACATCAAAAGGCTTTACAGTAACTATAGTTGATTTTGTAATATTTTGAAGTCCTATATCTTTTACATTGGCTTGTTTTGATTGGCTTATTCTGTTTTGTTCTCTTTAAAATAAAAAAATAAAATAAAATAATAAACTATTTTAACTTTCAAGGTGTATTGCTCTATTATAGTTTTATTATATTTTTGACTGTTACATTGAAATGAAAGATGAAGTCATGATAAAAAGTATGTCTGATTTGTACATGAAAGTCTGTAGAAGCTTTATTTATAAACCAAAATTAAGAATCATCCAGCATGTCTGCCAATAAGTAAATGAACAAACTGATACATCTATACAATGTCAAAGAAGAAAGAAAATAACCTACCAAAATACAAAAAGACATTCATGAACCTCCTTTAGTGAACTGCTAATTCAAAGAAGCCAGCCTGAAAATGCTACATAAATATGATTACAATCATGCAACATTCTGGAAAGGACAAAATTATAGAGACAGTGAAAATATTGGGGCTCATCAAGTGTTTGAGAGGAGGAGAAAAAGATCAAATAGATTTTTAGGGTGGTAAAGCTACTTTGGATGGTGGTAAGTACCATGAATACATGAGATTATCATTTTTTAAGATCCACAGAAATTTACAGCACAAAGAGTGAACCTTAATATATGAAAAATTTAAAAATTCACTTCAGAAGGAAGGAGATAACAGGAAGAAATTCAGACTAGGACAAGAGACTCCAACTGTGCAAAACTACTTCAGTGAAGGCGGTGGGTAAAACTTTGCATATGAGTGGCATCTGTAAGACTAAAGGCCACAAGAGTTGCACATAGCAATATAAAGTCTAGTTAATAAAATTCTTTTCCAGGGAGTTTGGGTTACTGAGTCTGATATATATACACTGAAACTGAACCATAATGAAAAGGAATGGAAGATAGTGGGAGCCAGATCTTTCATTGGCTTTGCTGATCAGGTCATATACCAAGTATTTTCTATAATAAATTAAATCTGTGGTTGCAAAATCTGGCATAAATATTTTAAAAGTATACTGGGAACTGGGAGTGCTGGAATACATCTGTAATCTCAGCTACTTGGAAGGCTGAGACAGGAGGATTTCAAGGTCAAGGCTAGTAGGGAAGTTTGGACAGATCCTGTGTCAAAAGAAAACAAAACAAGAAAAACAAACTTGTCATTCCAGCCACACAGTAGGTGGAGGCAGGAGAACTGCTGAGAGTTCAAGACTAGCTAGGACTACAGAGTGAGTTCAAGGCCAGTCTGAACAATATAGTGAGACCCTATCTATAAATAAATACATAAATAAAAAGGACTTGGATGTATGTCAGTGGTACAGTGCTTGCCTAGCACACATTAGATCCTGGATTTGATCTCCAGTAAAATAAGAAAAATAAACAAATAAATAAATAAATAAAAGCCTATAGGGTGGAACATACCTATAATCCCAGCATTTGGGAGGCTGAGGTAGGAGAATTACCATGAACTCAAGGCCAGTCTGGGCTACATAGTGAGTTCAAGGCCAGCATGAACTACATAGGGAGACCTGTTTTAAAAACAAAACAAAAAAAGAAATACATAAAAGTGCATGAAAACTATTTTATCAGATGATACTGTATTGGTAAAGATATGAGGAAGTGATTAAAATTGTAATTTTCCTTAAGCTTTTTCTCAGTGGTGCTGGGAATTGAACGCAGGGCCTCACACATGCTAGGCAAGTGTCACCACTACAAGTACATCCCCAGTCTTCCATTATTTTGTTATTTAATACATAGAGTTAAACAAGATACAATTAAGTAAAAGATGAACATATATTAATGAAAGTTGTTTGACAAATCTTGATAAAGTGTTTTGGAATAATTCCCAGAAACTAAAACAGTAAATAACTCTACTATTGGTCAGATTTTTCCCCCGTATTGGGGATTGACCCATAGCCTATGCTCTGAACTGAATCCCCAGCTATTTTTGGTTTTTATTTTGAGACAGGATCATGCTAACAGTTTCAAGTTATACTGAAACTTTTGATCCTTCCTGCTTCAGTCTCCAGAATAGTTAAGGGTACAGGGATACATCATTATTCCCAAATGGGTCAGACAGTTTTAATTTTTACCCATTAACAAAATGGAAGAAAAACCAAACTGGTCAATAATAATTTCTGATGACAGGTCACTATACTGGATATAACATTAAAATTTTGATGCTGATGAATTGTCACTTGTAGTCAGGTTTACAAGGAAAACAATTTAATAGAGAACACAAAAGTCATAAAATTGTTTTATAAAACTCTCCCCAAGAGTCAAACACAAAAAAGTGCAGGAAATCTGTTCATGCACTAAGAACTCCAAAGAATCTAGCAGAGGGCTTGGATCCCACAACAATATCCTGCATGAGTCCAGTTGAATACCTAGAGCCCATGGCAATGTCCCATGCAAGCCTGTTTCACTGATCTGCACTGGGAAGGCCCAAAGGTCAGCAGTGGAAGCCAGAAAGTCTATGATAGCAGGGTGAAGGATCTGTGCCAGTAGGCTGAGGGAGCTGCACTGGAGCCAGGACGTGATGCTCAAAATAAGACCAGAGTTCCCCTGAAAGGTACCAGCCATCCTCAACAAGGTCCAGAACTCCTCCATCAGTGAGAACAGCCAAGTTCACATCAGGAAATCATCATGACAGGCTCTTCCAGGAGATTGAACCACACACCATCTTCCCCCTCCAGAGCCAGGAAGCAATGCTCAAAATAAGGACCAGGGCTCTCCCAAAGTGAATCACAGCCATTCTCAGTGACAAGATTCTGAGCTCTTCTGATGATAACAGCCAAGTTCATACCAGGAAAGCAGCTTGACAAGCTCCTTTAGAACCAATAGCAACAGAAGAACCAACACCACCACTTCCTCTCCTTTTTATGTTGTTGGCAACAACCCTCAGGTGGACCCTCCAAACCCAGCACCGCTCTGATTCAGTTCAGCTGGTATTACAAATTGATCACCAGTTGTCAATCCACCATATCACCCAAAGATTATATAAGGGTATCTCAATATCTCAATAATAATCAATGTTGAGTATGTGGTATTAAGGTTCTCAAACTTTATTCAGTAGTTCAAATGGATGTAGGGATTGACACAAACACATTACATGCTGTAACTCTGGAATTTTTGTTTGTTTATTTTGAGACAGGGTCTCCCTATGTAGCCCAAACTGGCCTTGTTAAGCTGCTGCCTCAGCCTCTTGAGTACTGGGATTCCAGGCATGTAATTCTTATTTTGCCTACTTTTACTCCTATTCAACAATATAGTAAGAATATTATTCTAAGTCATTAAGTTATAAATATATGAAAATGGTTATTAATAGCTTCTTTCGTAGAATTACAGGAAAGTGATGAAATTACAGATAAGGAAGATTCCAAAAGGCAACTCCCAGTCACAGGGGACAGAGATATCAGCTATACTTTTTCTCTGAGGAAATGACAAGATGTTGGAAAAAGAAAAGGATGAGGTCACAGGAAAGCCTGGGAGGAGGAGATATCTGTTTGCTGTGGAAATAGCAAACTACAGCCCTCTTACATCTGAGGAAAGGATCCCTCAGTCTTGCAGGCAGAAAAGCAGAGTATGTTCCTTAGATCCTGGCAGGAAGTGTCCTTTGCCAAATGAAAATCACTCTTTTGAAAAGACAATTCAACTTCCCAGTGACGAATGAGACCTTCCTTCATCTACATTTCCCCAAGGGATCCAGCACCAGGGTTCTGCCATTGCATACAGCCTTTGTGTCAATTATGAAGAGGGCTCCCCTCTTATTGTCCCTTCCAGACCCTGTGGCCCTATACTAGGGCATAGGACATGGAGTAACAGTGGTTTGTGTGCTAGCTTATTGTGGCTATGACAAAAGGAAGAGAGTTTATTTGGCTCATGCTTTCAGTTCATGGTCACATGATCTCATTGTTGAGCTAAATCCCTAGCCCCCTTACGGTGATCTCATTGTTTTGGACTTCTGAGGGCCAAATGTCACAGCATGGAATGCATGAGGGAGTAGAGCTACTCACCTCATCACATGTGGAAAGGAGACGGAGGAAGGGGAAGAAGAGAGGGAGGAAAAGAGACAGAAAGGGGCTGAGGACATGATACACCTTTGAAAGACACTCCCAAGTTTCCATCATCTCTCAATAGTCTATTAAATTATGAAGCCATCAATGCATTAATCCATTGATGAGTTCAAAAGCCTTATTACTGAATCCCCACCTCTGAACATTGCTGCAATGGAAACCAAATCTTCAAATTATGAGTTTGGGGGTGACATTCTTGTTTCAAACCACTATAGTTGGCTTAAGCCACTACTTGGCCTCTTGGCTAGGAAACCTTGAGCAGAACTGTGTAGGCACAACTTTGCAAAATGGTCTTGTCTGATATGATTAGTGACATCACTAAGAGGGAACAGCATGAGAGAATATATGCAGGACAAGAGTGGAAAAGAAGAGCAAGTAGTCCAGCTTGTAGCAGTAGAGTTTAGGCTGATAGGGAGAATATAACATTATGTGACTTTAGTGTCAAGTAGAGGAGCCTGGAGTATTCGTGGGCACATGGGTTCCAGCTAGAATACAGTGACAGGGTTAGATACATAATTTGAAAAAATTATCCTGGTCGTTTTCTGTAGTATAAATCAACATAGAAGAGAGTAAAGACACTATTTGGGAAGCTAATACGGTTTCTCAGCCCCAGTACTATCATTGACCTTTTGAGTCATATAATTGTTAGCTGTAGGGAGTTTTCCTTGCATTGTGAGATATTTAGCAGCACCTCTAGTCCCTTCCCACCAGATGTTCAAAATTCCCTTCTTCTCCGTGACATTGACAATTGTCCTTAGGGAGGCAAAATTGCCCCAGTTGAGAATCATGTAATAGGCCATGTGGGACATAAAGATGAAAGGGTGAATCTTAGGCAAGGGTAGCAGTAAAATCTAAAAGCTTTGTAAAGGGTTAGGTAGGAGTGTGACTGAGAAAGGGAGCAATTTAAGCTCAGTGGAACCACAGAAAAGCCACTAGAAGCCATCTAGTCTAATATGCTCATTATAATTCCCTGGGAGTGGCTGCACATATGCCCATATTCTTAGCACTCAGAAGACTGAGGCAAAAGGATCATTACTTTGAGGCCATCCTGAGCTACACAGAAAGATTCCACCTCAAAAAGCAAACCAAAAAATCAAACATACAAAAACAAAACAAAATGAAAAGAAACAAAGGAAGAATATGCTTAAAATTTCTTGCAATAGCAATAATCAGGCCATGAATAAACCCTATTGGCTAGGGTACTGCCATTGCATGAAGCATTAGCAATTACGCTTACAATGTAGTCTACTCTTGAAGAGCAGTTTGGTAAATCCATTTGAAGGACAATAGGTAAAACCTATTAATCATCACAAAAACTATCTTATCCTTTCACTCAGCAATGCTATTTCTGGGAATTTATCTTAAACAATGTAAATAGAGATAAACAAATGCATATTAATAAAGTAACAATAAGTGCATGAAAACAAGTGACTTTGTTCGCAACAATTACACCCTTATGTCTATCATAGTGCCTGTTAAATGAAAGACCCAGATTTTAGAAGTCTGTTCCCAAGAGACTTTGCGGTTAATGAAACAAGACCTTAGATAGGAGGGAAGGAAAGTTATCAAGAGTGTACGCAGAAAAAGAATCAAGATACATTATGCATTATGTACAGGTAGCCGGGCTTATGGCAATGCCTGTAATCCCAACACTCACAGGGCTGAGGTGGGGAGGATCTCCGTGAGTTTGAGGTCAGTTTGAACTACATAGTGAGACACCATCTCAAAACAAACACACACAAAAAAATATATCATATACAGGTACAAATTCCGTGATGAATGTGATCATTATGTACACTTAAAGTGTATCAATAAACTTAATTTAAAAAAAAAAACTAATGCATGCAAAGCCAGATAGTGGTGACTCTGGCCATCCAACTACTAGGTGCACGAAAATAGCAAATCTGAGGCCAATTTGGGGAATTCAGTGAGACTGCCCCAAAACAGTAAACAAGGCTGGGCTTGTAGTTCTGCCTTTGAGGAAGAGGTTCAATTCCTGTGGCTGAGGGTGAGAATTCAGAAAAGCTCATTAACTTCTTTTTCAGAGAGAGATTGACTACAGCATTTGAAAGGAAGGGAAGTTAGAAAGAGAGCTTGTTAGGGTTTCATTCAGTGAAGTTAGTTTCAGCAGCGTAAAAAGAGTGGTTGGACCTGGGATTTGTGCAGAATGAAGTTTGCCTGAAACCATTTCTTGCAAAGAACTGTGCCCTCTCCGGGAGAAACTGCTGGAGAACATCCTGTTCACAGAAAAGAGGACGTCAGGAACACAATAGTCAGAATAAAAGGAAAAAAGAAGTAAGTGTCCAGAAACTTGACTTTTAAATTGCTCTCTGAATATGGAATCTGAGTTACCTTAACACGGATCCTCCCCCTGTAGGGTGAACCGGAGAATTTAACCTGGACTACGAACGCCGCGAGCAAAAGTCTGGAGGAGGGCGGTGGGCGTAGCCAATGCTGAACCCGCTGGAAGCCACGCCTCCTTCCCAGAATGCTTCGCGGCCGCCTCCAGCTTGAATTCCTTTCTCCCAGTGGTGGTGGGGTGCTGTGTAGTCCAGGAGGACCGTATTGCCATGGAGGCGCTGCAGTCTAGTGCTGGGAGGGTGAGGCGCACGCGGCTGAAGCGCCGGCGCCCGCCCCAGCCACACAGCGGGTCAGTCTTGGCTCTGCCCTTGAGGCCCAGGAAGATCCGAAGGCAGCTGAGGAGAAGTGTCGCGTCCCGCATGGCCGCGCTCAGGGCTCAGGCGCTGCCAAACGAGGACTCAGAGGACTCGAGGGTACAGACGACGGCCGACAATCCTGGGGACGCGCTGCCTTGTGACCCAGTGGCCATTCCAGAGCTGCTGGAGGCCTCTCCCGCGGCGCGTTCCCTGCAGACCCCGCCAGCGCGCGTGGCGGAGGTGCAGGCTGCTTCCGCCCGAGCTCTGGACTGCGGGACCCTGCCTTGCACCCCTCAGCACGGGGCGAACCCCGCGCCGCAGGTGGATAAGGCGGGTCAGGAGCTGTCCTGGAACTCCCCGCTGCAGTGCATCTTGGCTGAGCTGAACCGCATCCCCAGCAGCCGGCGCCGAGCGGCCCGCCTCTTTGAGTGGCTCATCGCGCCCATGCCTCCAGACCATTTCTACCGGCGCCTTTGGGAGCGGGAAGCGGTGCTGGTACGGCGGCAGGACCACGCCTACTACCAGGGCCTTTTCTCTACTGCTGAACTGGACTCGATTCTGCGCAACGAGGAGGTGCAGTTTGGACAGCACCTAGACGCCGCGCGTTACATCAACGGGAGGCGCGAGACCCTGAACCCGCCGGGCCGCGCGCTGCCCGCCGCTGCGTGGTCGCTGTACCAGGCCGGCTGCTCTTTGCGCCTCCTCTGTCCGCAGGCTTTCTCGACCACTGTGTGGCAGGTTTTGGCTGTGCTCCAGGAGCAGTTTGGAAGCATGGCAGGCTCCAATGTCTACCTCACGCCCCCCAACTCCCAGGGCTTTGCGCCCCACTACGACGACATTGAAGCTTTCGTGCTGCAGCTGGAAGGTAGGAAATTCTGGCGTGTCTACCGTCCCCGGGTCCCAGGTGAAGAACTGGCCCTGACATCTAGCCCCAATTTCAGCCAGGAGGACCTTGGTGAGCCGGTGCTGCAGACTGTTCTGGAACCTGGGGATTTACTCTATTTCCCTCGGGGCTTTATTCACCAAGCTGAATGCCAGGATGGAGTGCACTCTCTGCACCTGACCCTGTCCACGTACCAGCGCAATACCTGGGGTGATTTCCTGGAGACCATTCTGCCCCTGGCCCTGCAGGCTGCAATGGAAGAAAACGTGGAGTTTCGGAGGGGTCTTCCCCGAGATTTCATGGATTACATGGGGGCCCAACATTCTGATTCTAAGGATCCAAGAAGAACTGCCTTCATGGAGAAAGTACGGGTCTTGGTTGCTCGCCTTGGACACTTTGCACCTGTTGATGCTGTGGCTGACCAGCGAGCTAAAGACTTCATCCACGATTCTCTGCCACCCGTGTTGACTGATAGGGAGAGGGTACTAAGTGTTTACGGGCTCCCAATTCGCTGGGAGGCTGGAGAGCCAGTAAACGTGGGTGCCCAGTTGACAACAGAAACTGAAGTCCACATGTTGCAGGATGGGATAGCTCGTCTGGTGGGTGAGGGGGGCCAGTTGTTTCTCTATTACACGGTGGAAAACTCTCGTGTTTATCATCTGGAGGAACCCAAATGCTTGGAAATTTACCCCCAGCAAGCTGATGCCATGGAATTCTTGCTTCGCTCCTACCCAGAGTTTGTGAGAATAGGGGACCTACCCTGTGACAGTGTGGAGGACCAGCTTTCTTTGGCAACTATGCTGTATGATAAGGGGCTGCTACTCACGAAGGTGCCTCTAGCTCCAAACTAGTTCCTTGTTGGTTGCTAGAAACAAGACAGCAGCAATTCAACACTACCACCACGTCCATTTTGGTTTTGTTCCTAATTCCTGCTCTTGGTAACCATCAGTATGGTAACATTTACCTTTATGACTTCTTCAATGTCACAAGTCTCAGACGGTCTTCTGGGAAGAGCCACCTCATCTAGGTACAAAAATAAAAGCAGAACTTGGAGTAGGAAAACAAAAGAGCTATTTTTGCAAAAGTGACCTTTATCATTTCAGAGCACCAGCTTTCCTCTTAGGCTTCTGTGAACTGTGAGCAATGGTTTTTGTCACTCTGCTTAAGACATTAGAAGTTTTTATTTGGAAGTTGTATCTTTCATTTAAGTTCTCTTTCATCAGTTTTGGGGGAGCATTGGGGTATCATGTTTGTTAATAAGTTTATATGATTTATTAAAGTACCAAAGAATGTTTCTCAATTTTCGAAGGTAGATTATTATGTGGATTGGTTTGAAGAAATGCAAGAGAAGTGAAAAGCAACTTGAAGTGGTTGCAGGATGTAAAAGGAGCATGTTAATCACTTGAAAGGAGAGGGCTGTGGGTATAGCATAGCACACATAGCCCTAGATTCAGTCCCTAGATCCCTGGCACCAATTGGCAAAAGTTAAAGAAGAGAAACACATTTGATTGGCGTAGTTTCTTTAACTTTGGGTGTAATTTACTTACTTTAATTGTTGTATTTAAACCCCAAAGCACAGTCAGCTTTAACAGTACATATTATGTTTTTGTACAGTACTCACTTACATCGTTGTCTGGTCCCAAAGGGGCAACCTGTCACCTAGTTGTGCTGTCATAGGTCTTAGCCAAGTTTTAGTAAGCTGGCCATGAGGGAAGACTGCTGTTCAAGTTACTCTCCACTCTCATTTTTTTCCTGGCAGTTGGAAGAAACTTCCCCAAATCTGGCAAGTGAATATTCTCATGGTTGGTGGAAAAGAGCCTGTTGTACCAGAAAGAGCACTTGGAATTGGAACCAGAAGACCTGGGTTTGGGGTGGTGGCTGGTAGGCAGCTGGCTGAGTGACCCGAGGCTGCTACTACGCTTGGGCACACAGATTTTGTAAGTATTATTTTGGTACAGCTTGATTTCTACACTCTCATTATTTAGGTTGTATCTAGGACTCTTAAGAACCTATCACCATAACTGATAGGGCCGGTTTTTTAAGGGTGAGAACTTTATTATAAAATCTTTTTTAAAAAATTACAAGGTGAGCATGATGATGCACACCCGTAATCCTGGCACTCTGGAAGCTGAGGCAGCAGGATCACAGTGATTTGAAGGCCAGCCAAGGGTATATAGTGAGTTCAAGGCCAGTCTGAACTATATAGCAAGATGCTGTTTCAGAAATTTTTACAAAAGCAATTGAAGGTGTTGCTTAAAGAATGCTTTTCTGGTCTGTGCAAAACCCCACGTTCAATCCCCAGCACAGCACACACACAGAATTTACAAAAGCATTTGTACACGTAAATAAAAACATTAGCTCTCCTTTGAATCACTCCTCTAAGGCCTTTTTTGGTGCTGAATCAAACCACAGTTTTTTGTTTTGTTTTATAAAGACTTGTGTTTTTTTTTTTTTAAGTTGTCCTTTTCTGGCCTAACTTTTCAGTCTGAGTGCAGCTACCTTTTCTTAAGGAGGCAAAAATAGCAAATAATAAACCTGATAGAAAGGGGGAAAAAATAACAGACTAAGCAGATAGTGACTGAGAAGGAAGTAGCCTTTCCTAACTCTCATCCTATGAAACTGTTCACTAAGTCTCAAATCTATATCCCAGAATAGGTTTATTGTTTTGTTTTGTTTTTTGAGATAGTGTCTCACTATGTAGTCCAGGCTAGTCTTGAACTCATTGTGTATTCCAGGCTGGCCTTCAACTCATGGCGATCCTCCTGCCCTGCCTCAGCCTTCCAAGTGCTGGGATTACAGGCACGTACCCGGAATAGGTTTATTATAAAGTGTCAAGGCAGCTGGGTGTAGCACTGAGAGGGTGAGATGGGAAAGTTGCCAGAGTCTGAGGCCAGCCTGGACCACATAGTAAGTTCCAGGCTAGTCTGAACTACAAAGTAAGACCCCATCTCAAAAATAATTTTTAAAAAAAGGAATTAAGGCATAGGATTTACCCTTAGGAAACCTACCCTGAAAAGTTTTTTGGAGAAAAGTGTGGAGTTTCAATGGTTTTTGCCCCTCTTTGGGTTGTGAGTAAACACGTTTTGCTGCTTCTTTCACTTCTCTTATGACTCTCTCTATCTTGAATATTTTCTGCGTCAGCAAGTCCTTTTGGTTTAGTTTTTCAATCTAGATTAAAACAAATGTTCAAAAGTTTGTAGATAGCAAATCTTAAAAAAAATCAACAAAGTAACATTATGCTTCTCAGTAGTAGGTGGTATATAGGTACCTAAAATTCTGGCTGTTTTTTTATACCTGCTAATAAAAATTTTACTTTACCTATTTGGTCATGATGAAAGGAATCTGCTAAGAAATACCTGCTTGGTGTGAAGTTGGTTTTGTGAATTGCTATTTTTATGTGCTTTTCCCTATATTCCTTCATTTTATGTTAACAGCTTTGAAAAATTAGAACCCTTTCAGATAGAGAGTTCCTTTAGTGAAAGTTCCCACATTAGGCATTAAGGAAAATTGAGAAGAAAAAAGAAAATCTAGGAGGCCAGGCTTAGTCTCTCATTCCTTCTTTATGCTCATAAATAAAAAAGAAGGAAAAAAACCCTAAGATTTAAGGAATGGTGGGGAGAAAACGGGAAAGAAAGATATGGTAAAAAAGCAATGTAAGCCCCATTTTGATGGTTACTTGATAGGACTCCTAGATTTTTGTTTTTGTCTTCATACTAACAGAATTTTATAAACCTGCACATATGTTTTATGTCTTCAAACAATACAGTATCTGTGGTGTATGAAGTGTTTCTGTGATGGGAAAGGGCATATACATGCTTAGGAGTAAAAAGGATCCCAGGAATTCTTGTGAGCCCTGAATTTTCTCTTGAAAACACTACTTGTATTTATTTACTCTGTTCTTGACCTCCTGGACCATTTCTTGGTATTCTTCATTTCCTAAGTTGAGTATCTTCATTGCCTGGTTAATTTCCCTGAAAGAGAATGATGGACTTCTTACATTGTTGTACCTTATCCTTTAAACAAGCACAGGGGTAGAAAATAAGAAGAATCATACATTCTAATTTTAACTCCAGTTTTGCTGAGGTTCCTAGGGATATATGTATATATTTTTTATTTTAAAGAGAAAAAAGAAATAATAGAAAAATCAAGAAGCAAATAAAACAACAACCACTGAAATATAATAGCTATATAGATTTTTAAAACAAGATGACAGGAATTTAACAATGGTTGTTATATATTATTTATTATCTTCAGAATAGCTGCCCAGGTTATCAAACAAAGCAGTAAAATGAAATGAAACATTGGATTTCTAAAATAGAAGGAAATCCCCCACAGCTGTTATAATGCATATTGCTATCCTCCAAATAGATGCTTAGATTACCAGTTTTAGGCCTACAAAGTCATTCAAACAATAAAAGCATTGTTACTTTTTTTACTTTAATTGCTATCATCTTAGCCTGACTTTATCCAATCAGCCCATTGCTTATAAGGGTAGACGCAAGGGCGGAGTATGCTCTTCTTGTCTTTCAGCCTGAGCACCAGCTGGCTCATGGCAAAGTGTGGTTTAGCTTCTTGATTCTCTTCCGTTCCCCATGGGGGCCACCCCTGGCTCATGGGAAGGCATTGGTTCCTAGGGGTATTGTACAATTGAAATGATCTATTTGAAGGTACTAATAGGCACCATTTATTGAACTTCTTTATGACAGGTACCAAGTGTCATTTTACTGTCACTGCCGCTGTTATGTAGACTGTCATTAAAAAAAGAAAAGAAAACAAAAAGAATGGCTACAGTGACTTAAGTGCTGCTCCAGGCTCACATAGCTATTGTGTGACTAAGCCGGATTTCAAACACCAGAATTTTTGACTCTAAAGCCTGTTGTCATGATTGGTACTTGATACATTTAGTGGAATATATAATACAGTACTCAAAACCAGCTGGGCATGTGGCGAGGAGGGGTGGGACTAGCACAGAAACTGAATTTGGCTACTATGGGCTGGTTTTTCTTTTACTTATTTGAGTGGGTAAGTGAATGGCACAGTGGGCCATTAACTACTGAGAGGTAGCCTAGAAAGGCAGGGGTAGATTTAGGAACAAGGATGGAAGAATAGGCCATCTAGGAAGTTGTGGCAGGCACCAGAGTTGAGTGCTTACTTTAGAACAGCATCATGGTTCTCCAGAAGAAGTACATCTAGGAAGGTGTCTCTGACCCTGTCCCCTTGAAGTTTGAGGGCCAGGATGCTACGGCAAGCTTCCACTCGTACACCTGGCGATTCTTCATAGTGGACAGCCCAGAGCAGGAGATCAGCCACTTGGGGATTCACTTCCCCAATCTGTCCCAAAGCTGAAGGGATAAAGAGGGTAGCTTGCCCCCCTGTTAATGAAGACTGAGTTGGCCCTATGTGAACATCCACAAATAGATGATTGCAAACCGTATCTTCCCTTTTGGATGGTAACTAATCACCATTAGAATCTCAGGGATAAAAAAGTAAAACATCAAAAACAACAACAAAAATTAGTGAGTGGGGATGCTTGGTGATAGAGCCCTCCCTAGCCATGTGACAGCCTAAGTTTATAGCACCACAAACATATGTGCAAACTTGAGAGATAGATTAGAGTGGGATATTACCTTCAAAGGATTACTAGGAAGATGTTTGATTTCATCTTTGCCCAGAAACTAATTTGCCTAATTATGGATGAGATTTGAGACATATCTGAGAACAGCTGTTAGGGTTTGAATCTTAAATACCCCTGCGCCCAAAAGAAACAAGCAAAGAAAAACCCCTCAGCACTATTGGGAGGTTGTGGAAACTTTAGAATTAGGGCCTGGTTAGAAGTAGGCCAGAGGAGTGTCTTTAAATGCTCTATTGAGCCCATGGCCCCTTCCTCTTTGCTACAATTGCCATGAGATGAGTAGCTTTATTTTACCACATGCTGTTTGTCATGATAATCTCTTTCATCATAGTCCTAAAGCATGGAGCCAGCCAACCATAGACTGAAACTGTGAGCCAAAATAAATCTTTACTCCTTTTAAGTTGTTTTTTTCAGGTTATTTGTCACAACAATGAGAAGCTCACAAGCCATCAGCTTAGTCAAGTTTGGTGGCTAGCGACTTGCCAAAGACCATGTCAAAAAAAGAAACAAAGTCAAAGATAATAAAAAATTAGGAAAGCCAGAGGGCGGGGTCTAAGGGTTCTACAGTCTTAAATCAGGTCTTTTACAGAGTGCTACAGCTGAACCTCCAGGGAGTGCAAGATATATCCAACAGTCAATATCTACTTGAAACATTAATTTTGTTGTCAGGGGCTGATTAGTCTGCCCTTTGCCTTAACAAATTTGACAGAAACCTAAATTCACTCAAAGCTAAAAATCTCCTTTCTCCAGCAAGAAACTTCTGAGAAACTAAGATCATCTGCCCCTACTTTTTCATTCCCTGACTGGAGAATTTCTGGGCATCATCAGTATTAGCACAGAAGGTTTTTTAAAGCTGAGCTGAAGCTGGATGAGATGGCACATGTCTGTAATCCCAGAATGCAGGAGACTGAGGCAGGAGGATTGCCATGAATTTAAGGCCAGCCTGGGCTATATAACGAGTTCAGGACCAGCCTAAACCTCATAGTTAGATACTGTCTTTAAAAAGGGGGGAGGGGCACTCCCATAATACCTCGAATGGCAAAAGCTTTGATTTTCCAAAAAGGATCTGTCTGCATCAGAGTCAGGAGGCATTCAAGCACCTAAAATAAATGAATAAAAGTCAGTGTCAAATAAAGAGAATCAGAATAAGAATGAATAGGAAACAGGGATACTACTTGTCTCTAAATGGTGCTAGGACTAGAAAGTGACCTGTTGACTCTACTGATAAATGAGCTGAAGCCTGAACTACTAGCCTATATACAGCATGGTAGCAGAATTACCTGCTCTATGGATTTCTCAGCCCACAGATCTGTGGCCATACAGACTTCTTCTTTCATGTGTTTGGGGGCAGTATGGATAGAGATCAAACTCAAGGCCTTCTGCCTGCTAAGGTGAGCTACACCCCTAGTCTCAGACTTCTTTTGCATACCTTAGTTACATTTTCTCTAATAACTTTGTGAAGCTCCACTCACTAGAATTGATACTCACGCCTGTCAGCACTCAAGTAAGGAAGCTAGCAGGTCAGAACAGTACTGAGGGATATGCTCTGCCTTGAAGTCTGGAGACCTGGAAGCTAAATGGTCCTTATTGACGGGTGTGGCCTTTTCTTGGTTCTGAGCTCTTATTCTGTGTCCCCACAGAATAGTGAGTGTATTGTGCACAACGAGGGAAGGTAATCCCTTCTTCAGGTCATTCAGGTAAGATGCGATCATGTTTCCAGGACTCACCATCTTGTTACGGATCTGCAGGGCACCTGCTGCCGAACAGGCTGCTTGCCGAACTGCTACGAACTCATCAGAGAAGCAGTGCAGGAAGCCTGGGAGAAGCTTGGCAGTCATGAGCTTGAGCCCACCTATCAGGGAGAGTGCTTTCACCCGCTCCTGGGCATTTCCTGCAACCAGCTTAACCCTGTGAAGCATGAATTGCTTTTATTTTTCCTCCTTAAACTTTCACTGCATACCACCAACCCTCCACTGTCCACATGTGTGATGCTCAATTGGTAATTGGCTCCCAGCCTAGAATGACTAGGCTGTCTACTTATCCTCTGTGAAACTTGGCCCTGCTTCTGCAGCCCACACTGACTACTCCATTTTTTCTATAGCAGATATGATTTATGCCATTTGTTTTTAATATGATTTGGTATATTTGTTTAGGCCTTGTATCTTACTTGTGAACTTGTCATAATTGTCCTGTTTTTCAAACTCCTTCAAATGCCCAAGACATCACCTCTTACGTAAGTGAATTTAGTGAATGCCGCTTCCTCTAGCTCCACTGTTAGTTTCTATAGTAACTGAACTTTTTACAGTGGGACCTCGTATGATACTGAACAGGCAGAAGAGCTTAACAAATGCCACCTATCTTTATCCCAGGGCCTCTAACTGCGTCTAAGAATAGAAGTTCCTCTCATGTTGACTAGGTCTTACCTAATTGCATCATGTACTTCTTTCCCAAGGCTCATTTGCCCTAGTGCGCAGGCAGCTGCTTGCCTCACTTCCTTATTCCAGTCATCCCACATTAGCTGGATCAACTTGTGTTTCATGTCCTGTGAACAGGTGTAAAAATTGACTATCATTTATTGAATGTTAATTTTCTACTTGGCATTATGTGAGGTGTTTTTACCTATCTTTTAGTCTCCTAAACTAATGGGGCAAACATTGTTATCAATCAGTCATAGGTGACACAATAGAGGCTTCGATTCACTTGCCCAGGATTAACATGGTGAGTGGCTAGAACCAGAACTCAAATCCAGTTGTTTGTTAAGCTTATCCTTTAAACTACTATAAAGCATCAGGGCCAACATAGTATATATAAGAGATTTAAAACTTGAAAGTGATACTTAATCAGGTGACTAGTTCATCTTTGTTTGCTCTGGACCAGTGATGGCAAACCTTTTAGAGATAAGTGCCCAAAGTGCAACCCAAAACTCACTTATTTATCACAAAGTGCCAACACGGCAATTAAACCTGAATCCTGAAGTTTTAGGTTAGAAAAAACAACTCTTAACATCTTTCATCGTAAGAGAAAACAAATGAAAAGCATGCCACAGGTTGGCCATCACTGCTCTGGACAAACCAGGGCAGTTGGTCATCCTATCAGTCTTATTTCTTATCGAGTAGAAGGGATACTATTACAGTTGTAGCCGGTGATGATGTAAATGTAGCCAAGCTGTTCTCCCTGCCTGAAACATCTCTCCTTCACCCCTACTTGGTTTTCCAACTCTAGGATTTAGCTTTCCCAAGGCTCATTTGCCCTAGTGCGCAGGGAGCTGCTTGCCTACTCTAGGATTTAGCTCAAATGTTTTCCTACTCTAGGATTTAGTTCAAAATGCATGTCCTTAGTGGGGCCTCCTCTGCCCATGAAACTGTAAGAAATCCCTGTATCTTTTTGGGGGAGGGGTAAGAAATCCCTGTATCTTTTTGGGGATCAAACTCATGATCTTGCACTTGCTAGGCAGGCACTTATAATGCTGAACTAAAGCCCAGGTCCTAAAATTCCCAAATCTTATAGCTGCTTCTGTTTAGGTTATTCATAACATTTATCAAAGGAAGATAATATCTTCATACCCCCAATGCTAGTATAATGCCTTGCAATGTAGGATAGGGTTGGAAACTACTTACTGAAAGAGTGAAACAATCTCTAGACACACAGCTTCCCTTAAATTCAGCACCCTGCTCTGAAGTCCTCATCTTTACATAGTTTACTACTGTCTCTGCATGTCTGTTTACTTTGAGTTAGTAATCCTGAGTGCTAAGTGCAAAGGAGGTGAATATGCAGTGATTCAGATGTTAAAGTTAGGAAAATGCAGATTCTGATTGTTTGGCCAAAGGTGAGATTTCACATCTCTCATAGATAAGGCCTGTGCTGATGCCATAGGACTTGTCCACCTGGCTGGAGCTATGTTTTAGTTTTTGCTGTTGTTTGAGACAGGGTGTCACTATATAGTTCAAGGTGACCTTGAACTCACAGTGATCCTTAGCCTCCCAAGTGCTAGGATTACAGGAGTCTGCCACCACATCTGGCTCTGGAACTGTTTTATAGATGTGTGTGCTGACCCCTCAAAAACCACAACAGGCACTGGTTGAGTTAGGTTGTTGGGTCTTTAAAGTTTTTAACTGTGATGAAGGACCAATTTTAGGGCTGGGCGTGGAGTGAAAAATATGCCCTTGGTTGATACTTTTATAAACTATTAATTTTGAAGCAGTATCTAATAACTAAATTTCTAAGCTCTTTCTCTTAGTTATTGTGTTTATTTTGTTACAGTTTGTGGATTGCCACCACACTAAGAAGTACTGGCTTAAGTTGCAATATGTGTTGGCATTTGAAGGTAATTCTGGGTTATAAGAGGTAGCAATGGGAACAGAAATCTATTTGATGAGAGTGAGATACTATATGGCAGGAAAAAGTAGAAAGGTTCCTATAGCCCAGCCTTACTTAGGCTTTCTGTTCTGGAAGCAAGGAAAGAAAGCTTACTAAACAGACATTTCCACTGATCTTGGAGAAGACTCGGCAGGCCACAGTCCGATCCTTCCATTGATGGCTGTTCAGCTCCACAGCAAGCATGGTATGTATCAGGGTCTAATCAGGAAATGGAAAAACTTGTATCAGTAGTCACAATCACTTTTAGAGATACTGGAATCTTGAACAAGTTACATCATAAATGACTACCAGCATAATTAATGTCCCAACGTCATGAGATACTCATTCCTAATAAAGGCCAGAATGAGTTTACAAAAGATGGGCACCCTCCCATCCAAGCCACCTGATTCTGATGTCATAATCCGGGAAGAAAATATGGATTTAATAATATAAACAATCTTCCTGACTTTATTTTTACCTAGAGATGATTTATATGTGCTCCAATTGTTGTTTCCTATTTCTTAGGAAAGAAACTAAACCTAATTGTAGGACTGTGTGGTTTTCGGTAGTAAACCTGTTTCAGAAGCAAATCTTACATGTCACAAGTTCTTGTGTGGTTAGAAATCATTTGCAGCTGACTTCTAGCTCTTCTCAGCTAGCTATAGTCGAGTCTCCCTGTATCCCCTTCCACACCCATGTTTACCCACACTTGGCGGTACTTTCACCTGTGCTTGAGATTATCCTACCCAAACAGCTGCACTTTGGAATTAGATCACAAAGATCTAGATTACTTCCCAAACTTAGTTTCCTCTCTGACCCATGAGGGGCACATACTGTCTTTCCGCTGAGATGGCGCAGGAGGACACAAGAGTGGTTCTCAGTGTCCTCATTCTTCTTGTTAAACAGCTGATGGAGGATCCTCTTAATCACTGGATAAGTGGCAATACCTTCAACAGCCAAGCACTGAGCAGCGGCCCAGCTGTCCACACTATTACCTGCCATGGTTGGGTGAAAAAATGAGTCCAGAATGGTGATGTTTCCTCCCAATAGAGAGAACATTACGCACTTTTGGCCTATAACCTGACATAGCCAGGTTTTTGTTTTTTTGCTTGAGACAGGGTCTCACTCAAGGATGTCCTTGAACTTAATATGTAGCAGCTCAGGCTGGCCTTGAATTTGTAGCAATCTTCCAGCCGCAGCCTCCCTAGTGCTGAGTTACAGGCATGAATCCCCACACCTGACTAGAGCCATTTTGATCAAATAAATCCAACAACCTGTATGAATGATGCCTAGAAGTTATATAAATTGGAAGAAAGATGTGCTCAGGTGGTGATTTTTAAAATTTGAAAAGTATATCTGGTATTGTTATGTCTTTTCAATAAAGAAAAGTTAACAAAAGAATTCATGTTTTTTAAATTAAAATGTAATAGCTGTGCATATTAGTGTGATATTTCAGTACATGCATGTAGCATACAGTGATTAAATTCATTTTCCCGTTAGCCACCTTCTGCTCCCTCTCTCCCCCTACTTTCCAGCCTCTAGTAATCACTATTCTACATTCAGGTTGACTCTCAGCGAGAACATAGGGTCCTTATTTTTCTGTGTCAGACTTACTTTACTTAACATAATGTCCTCCAGGTCCATCCATTTTAGGACATATTTTCTAATCAAATACCCCTATGAAAAGCTTAGTTTTGTAAAAGTATCTAGGAAGAACTGATTTCTGAATGTTCTAACATAAATCCAAATCTGATGGCAGCAGACATCATAGAGCATGAGTGAAGGGGGAGACTGAAAGGTGGTGATGAGAGATTCCCTCTACCCCATATTCCCAAGTCAGCAGTAACACGGAGTTACTCACCATTCACAAGAGCTGTCTCCATAATTTCCCGGGCAAGGATGTTATGTGACTGTGCGGCATATTGGCATAGTGCTGCTGCCATCCTTACATTGACATTCTTGTCACACAGAGCAGCTTCCAGAGAAGGCTGTAGAGCCTCTGGCAATTCCTGGATTAATGGAGTTTTCACGGCCTCTTGGTCTGTGATCAAAAAAAGCCAGGTAAAAAGAGTCGTAGTCTTTTGTCAGGTCCTAGTGCTATTTAAGTAATCACAGGTTAGCTATGCTTATATTCCTGGAAAGATTTTATACTCAATGGATTAAAGCATGTACTGGTCTGTTAGGATATCACTTCCTTCCCTTTATCATTTGACCTCTAAAGAGCTGTATTCAAGCCAAAGAAGAATGTTTCCAGCTATGCTATGGTGGACAGCAATAGTTTTTGTGGCAAAAGCAACCTATTTATCTCAGTTTAGGTTTTGAATAATAACTACAGTTACGTTTAAAGAGTGCTTTGTCACCCATCCATCCATCCATTCATTCATAAACAGGATCTAAGTTTCCAGGGACTCAAACTTATGACCTTACCTCACCCTCCCAAAGTGTTGGGATTACAGACATGTACCATTATGCTGGCTGCCATTCATTTATAAGGTTGGAGTTTGTTTGTTTTTTGAGACAGGGTCTTGCTACATAGTACAAGATGGCCTTAAACTCACTGCCATCTTCCTGTCTCAGTGTTCTGAGTGCTGGGTTAATAGGTATATACCAAGATGTCTGGCTTATACTGTCTCCTTTTAACTCTGGCTGAATTAAGCAAGGTAGGGATTGCTGCAGGACTTACCAAGGGGTCTTTCAAGTTTAAACATTGAGTCACAAGACTAGCATAGGCCACACATAGCACTAGGAGAATATAGGGTGAGAGCAGTTTGCCAGTAGGGGAGCAGGGTAAGGCATTCCTTTTGGCTGAAGTTCTTAAGGCTGTATAGCATTCCATAGTATCCTGGGGACAGGTCAGGAGCATGGAGTTCATTCTGAATGAATTTACACTTCACAGGCTGTCTCTCTTCTAACTCCGTATGGTAGGTACAATTCTAGAGTTCACAAAGGTTGTATCTGTGATAAATTACAGCATTCAGGGAGACCAAAGCATGATGTTCCTTTAAGATAGTCACATTTCATTTATTGTTTCTTTTCAGGAAAGGTGGGGGTTGGAGATGAGGTCTCCCTACATAGAATGTCTCTGCATGCTAGACACACACACACACACACACACACACACACACACACCCCTTATTAGGAGAGTAAGTGAGCACTTAACTGAATCTCAAATTCTCAAGTAAAAGGGGAAAAGATTTTGTTATGTTTGTTCACAAATTGAAGTTGAAGCTCAGAAAAGTTAACTGACTTTTCAAGGAGTGGCAGAGCTAGACCTGTGACTCAGACGTCTTATGATTTCTAACCATGTGTTTGTTTTACTAATGCTATGGGGCAGTATGGTGACAAATTACATGAGTTAGTCACCCTTTATACCTAAATCCCAAATGCTCCAAAATCCGAAACTTTAAGCACCGACATAATACCGGAAGTGGGAAAATCCCACACCTGACTTCATGTGATGGGCTTCAGTAAAGACACAGGTACGCTAAAAACAAACAATGTGAAATTGACAGGGCTGGCGTTCCTTGGTTCTGAGCAGAGATCTGCTCTGGCTTCCCGTTTCTAGTTCTGTGCGACGGAAGTGACACGATGTGGCGCGCCCACCTTGAAGCCAACGGAAGTGAGCCACGTACTTTGTGAGCTTGCGCGCAGACTTTTCCGGGTGTTGATGCTCATGGCACGGATTTCGTGAAGTCTTCGTCCACCCCCTAGTGGCCAGACTGGGGCCCAGCTTTTGGCCGAAGAGGATGATCCCAACCGCCCTGTTTAGTTTTCCTCCAGTAAAGCCGACCTGTTCCGCTGGTCGGTGAAGGAAAGAGGCAGCAGTGGCTCTGGCTCAAAGTGCTCCCCCTTGGCCTCTGCTGCAGATCTCTGTCTTGTGGTGCTGAGAGGACTGTGAAGCAGGCCCTCGATTGAGACAGTGTTGAGAGAACAGTGATTGACCTCAATAGCTTGGGACTCTCGCTGTCTGCTTGATGAGAATTTAACAGGGTGCCCGCTGGGGCTATTGGGAAGGAAACAGGCAGCTGCCCATCGATTTATCTGACTTTGCTTGTGACAGTTTCTGTCCTGGTTATGGTTTGTCTTCTATCCTGAAGGAGCCAGTTGGTGCTCTTAGGCATTGACACGCCTGAATGCAGAATCAGTCAGCAGCTCAGAGCTTGCTCCTTGCCTGACACTGGTGGCCAGAGATTATGTCCAAAAGACTTTTCAGATCTGTGAAAGAGGCTTTGACTGCACCGGGTGCTGTTGGGTTTGTGTTGTCTGTGTACAACCTAATTATGTTTCCAAAGCAGTTCTGGTGACACAATCTAGTGTTATTTTGCAGATTATTGTTTTTTGAGAAAATAACTGGCAGAAATGTTAAACTTTGTTTATAATCTATTTGTGTGAATAACGTCTGTTGATGTTTTACATACTAACAAAAATACATTTTCATAATATTAAACTAAAATCAAAATATATAAAACTACCTTCAGACTATGCATATAGGTATGTATAAAAGAAAATGAATTTAATGTTTAGACTTGGCTCTCATCCTCAAGATATCTCAGGTATTCAAATATACCTAGATCTAAAAAAAATCCAAAACATTTTTGGCATTTCAGATAAACGATACTAAACCTGTAGTTGGAGATTTGTATATTTCAGGTAAACAAATGTAATATCAATTGAGTACTTAAAAATTAAAGTAGTTTTCTTTGGTAATAAAAATCTAGGGCTGGAGATTTAGCTCAGCGGCATAAGTGCCTGCCTTGCAAGCAGGCAGTCCTGAGTTCGATCTCTGGTACCGATAAAAAGGAAAAAGACAAAAAGAAAACAAAAATCTAGACACCCAGGACATGTGAAAAGGATCACACAAAAGGCACATTTCTGAGCAAGACATAGGTGTTCTTTGTACAGTCATGGCCACATAAAATGATGTTTTGGTCAACAACAGACCACATATATGATGGTAGTCCCATTAAGATAATCTTTTTTTCATGTTGTAGATGCTTCTAAATATCACTCCATGATGTCTGTACAATGAAACTGTAAAGATACATCCCTCAGAATCTATCCCCATCATTAAATGGTACATGTAGAAGATTCAGGGATTAGGATGTAATCTATTGCTACCCATCAGAAATTTTCTCTGAAAATATTTTCACTGAAAATATTTTGTCCTGTTTAATAACCAAGGAAATAAGCATATATAACAAAAATATATATGAACAGAAACATACAGCAGGGACACTGAACCAAGTCTAGGGGCTGGCGCAGGGAAAGCTTCTCAGAAGTGACACCTCAAACTTAGCTGAAACTGAAGGGCAAGTGAGGTTTATTAGGGGAGAAGACGGAAGTATTCCAGCAGAGAGCAGCAAATTTGAAAACCAACATTGGTTAGCCTGAGAAGTGACATGTGAAGTTGAAGTAGTGTTGGAAAGTGGTTGGAGAAGGTTTTTTTACCTCTTTATATTCTTCTGCGTTGATTAATAATAACACTTTATGTTTCTCTTATACTGAGCCATATTTAGAAGGGAAAATGTCCATGTCCCTGCCCTTAAGAAGTTCCTTCCCTGGAAGGGATATAGAAGGGTACACAATAGAGTAAGTATAAGGACATAAGTCAATCTGGGATGTAACCAGCAGCAGAAAAGGGGCATATCAGCTTAGGTCTTGTATAAAAGGTGTTATCTGAGAGTGCACTTGCAAAACTAGTAGGGAAAAGCTGTGCTTTATGTCTTTTCAACATGCCATCATCTGAGACCTGTGTCTTATTCAGTTACTTCCTTGGTGGGTTACATGTTTGGCACAAGTAGATAGGACATGTTCTTTTTAACTGTTATTGCTACAGGTAGTAAAGAGAAAAATTATGATTTTTTCAAACTATTAATGTTTCCAAGAGGTTACAGACCACTGGGGAAAGAACAAAAAATTCATTTATTTTACAAAGTTTTTATCTTAGAGTAAAAACACACTTAAAATGTAACAAAATAGTATAAAAACAAGACTACCAAATTCACTTATATAATAAGACATTCTGAAGTCTTAACAAAGTAAAACCAGTAAGACAATGATATAATCATGATTCAGTTAGTACTTATGCTAAGAATCATGTGGGTATGTGGGCATATAGTACTAGGGATAGAACTGAGCCCTTTATGCTATTTTTAAAGTTTGAGACAGGCTTTTGCTGAATCATTAAGTTGCCTAAGTTGGGCTCAAATTTGCAATGCTTCTGTGTCTATTCTAAGAATTCAACAGAATTTATCAGATCCACAGATTAAAAGGAAAAAGCTAGAATCTGCTGATTAAAATATGACTCATTTTGTAATAAATTTAAAAGCCTGAATATACGTTAGCATATCTTTATAAAAGCATAAAGCTGTGAAGTGCTCAGCTGTAAACACTGGTTAATCTGCAAAGTGATATACAGAGTTGTAGCAGGATTAGAAAACAAGATGGGAGTTATTACCTCTTTTTACATTTCTCTGTTTTGATGAATGATGATATTTTATATTTCTTTTGTAATTAAAAATGAAAAAAATAGAGTCAGCAGTTTTCAGTGATGAGTGGGTTGTGGTAGATGATGAGTTTTACCCTAGATGACTCCCAGGGGCCTCGTCTTGGAACAGTATGGACTGGGGCGCTGCTGACTGAGGTTCTGAATGTGGGGCACAACTCTGTGTCAAGGGTGATGAATTCAGTTTTGAACATGTTGAGTTTGAGATGTGCTCTTCAGAGCTAAAATGGACTTAAGAGAAATGAAAACACACACACACACGCATAATATATTTCAAATATAGTTTTTGGCTGCCATGAATGGGAAATGTGAATTTCTCTGCAAGGCATGAGCAAGTAGAAGGTAAAGAGCAAAAAACACTTGTGGTGGAGTACATGTTTAGCATGTGTGAGGTTCTGGATTCATATCCATTACCAAAATAATAAGAATAAAGCACTGGACTAAAGATCAGGAATGTAGAAATTCTAATCTGTCTCTACTGCTAATAAGTTGTATGTATTGAGGCCAGTCTCTGGGCCTTAGTTTTCATACTCATACAGTGGTCTCACACCTCTCCTCCATCTCATTCAAATGTTCCATGGTTTTATGAATCCTGGATGTTTAGCCCCAGCTCTTACCCGAGTCGCTTGGACTGGTGGCAATCCGGGGGCGTTCCAGAGCAGCAGTGGCACAAGTGATGATAGCTTGGATCCGAATGTGATCATGCATGTCTTCCAAGCCACGCATCAGACTCTGTACTGTCTCATGATGCCACTCGATTACTGTGTCACAGTGACAGAAATAAGAAAAGAACCACCTGGTTAGGATTAGCTATTATGCTACTGTCAGATGACAAGAAGTGCTGTTTCCTCAGGACAACTCAAGCAAAACATTAGCACAGAAGAGTAAAAAAATTCAGAGATGGGCTCCTTAGGGAAGTTACTTCTCTGATGATTCATATACCTCTCAGGTAGGTCCTTCAATCCAATCTTATACTTTTTACTTAAATGTTTTTTTCAAAGACAGGGACTCTATGGCCCAAGTTGATCTAGAACTTACTTTGCAACCCCAAACTGGACTCAAACTTATGATCCTACTGTCTCAGCCTCCTGACTGCTAGATTACAGGTATGTGCCACCTGGCTTTACCTAACTTTTAATTTTAACCATTTAATTTCAAAATTAAAAGAGGCAGTAAAGCATACTGATTGGCTGGCCAGGGTGACACATGCCTGTACTCCTACCTGGGAGACTGAGGGAGAAGAGTCACTTTAGCCAATGAGCTCAAGACCAGTCTAGGCAACACAATGAAACTCCATCATAAACGAACAAGAAAATACCCCCACATTGGTTAAGGGTACTTTGTTGGCAGAGATACTTGGTTTGGAAACAGTTATTGACTGTGTGACATTGACTACAACCTCTATGAGCCGAGATGTCTCATTTATATTATAGGAATAATACTAAAAGCTATCATATTGAGTTACTTTGAGGATTAAATCATTAACAAAGTATTTATTTAGCAAAATGGATAACAATGAGGATTCAATGAATACTAAATTTGTTTTAGTACAAGGGATCAAAACCAGAGCTTCGTGCATTCTAGGCAAGCGCTCTACCGCTGAGCTGCATCCCTAACCTAGCAAAGGTTAGTTATCATAATCAAGTTTTCTTGCATCTGAAGGCTCCTCAAATTAGCTTTCAACAGCTTCCTTGTTGTAGTGAAATTTCTAACTGCTCTCTTTGTAAGTGTGATACTTTTATTACAGTGCTTCTATCTGTAAGTACTCTCCACATATACCTTTTACCCAGAGTCTCTTTTTCAACCTTTTTTGTTTTCTGATCCAGCTTACCTAGTGGATAAGGTCTTCTGCACTAACAAATCTTTCATGTTTTGAAAGCCAGCAGGTTTTGAGTTCTCAAATACTTCCAGAAGTCCTTGCTAGGCCATTATCTACTTTAGACACTTAGCCTTCTACTGGGGTATCTTTGGAGGAAAAGTAGATGCATGATAACCCCAACTCATCTTTACCTTTCACTTCATGCATGAAATATTGTGTTAAGTTTCAGAAATCAGTAAGACATGGTCCTTCCCTATGAAGGTTTCTCAGAGCAATGAGTTTCTACAAATTATTGACAACTGGTCCATAAAAAAAACTCCAGATACCTATAACTAACATTCACCTAATGCCCACTGTATGAAAAGCACTTATCTAGTATGACCTTAATGAGGTAACCAAGTTTTTACATTTTATAAGAGAGGCATGGTTTGCAGAGATTGAGTAGCATTAGTCCGTGGTGAGACCTATGCCCCTTCACTCACTCAGACCCCAGGCAGTCTTCCATTCCTGCAGCATCCTCCGCAGGACCAACAGTTCCCAAGTCACATCCTCTGTCAGTGATTTTGCAGGCTTCTTGGATTTCCTGGTCTTAATGGGAACATCTTCCTCACCCACCTGCAGCAGTAGATCCTTGACTGGTGTGGGCAGAGCAGTCCAGCGTACGGCTCCTTTCACAGGCCTATAAGCTATGCAACATGGCACCATGAGGTCTCCTCACCAGACAGCCTTAGGCAGTGCACATAGGGCTCCCAGCTAGTTTCCCATTCCTACTTCTAATTCCAAGGCAGAACAAAGCCCTTGAGAGTGAACTTTCCTGTGATAAGATAGGGAACTAAGTAGAAGTCCCACAGGGAAAATAAAAGATGTGAGTACCACATAATAAACTAAGATGGTAATGATGAGTGAGACAGATTTAGGGGGAGGCAGAGATATATACAACCCTCTTGATAAGCATGATAAATATTTAGAAACACCAATATGTTTATATGTAACAAGATTTGCTTATAAAATTCAGTATTTGAGATTCAGTATTTGCCTGTAATCCTAAAGATTAAAGAGGCTAAGGCATGAGGATTACAAATTCAAATCCAACCTGAGAGATGTGGCAAGATCCTTGCCTAAAGTAAGACAAACTAAAACTTTTTAAAAAAATCAATATTTGATGTATTGTAATCTACAGTGCAATTGACCATTACTTCATTTTTCCTTTAATCTTTTTTATTTGAGAGAAGGAACAATATGATAAGTTACTAAGTTTTAAAGATTTTAATATCTCTGAATTTTTCTAGTTATGGTAAATAACAGAAATTTGAGAACACTGGGTGCAGAGGTGCATGCTTGTAATCCCAGCACTGTGGAGGCTGAGGCATGAGGATTGCTGCAAGTTCAAGGCCAGTTTGGGTTACATAGTGAATTTAAACCCAGCCTGGACTACACAGTGAGACCCTGTCTCAAAAACACAAAAAAATTGAGAACAGAAGAAATCATGTGTAACTATAGCTATTTATAATTATTATATAAAAATGGTTATGGTTGTTAGGTTTTGTTCTTCATAGAGTTCAATGGATTCAGAAAGCCTCTTAGGAGAGAAGTTGTGTGGAGAACAGAAAGGGAAGAGAGATAAAGCATTTCTGAACTTACTAAGTTCATTATTTGCCACACTGCCCATTAGTCTCATGTTCTCTTCTGTCACTGCCAGTCATCTCTCTTGCAGAATGTCATCCCAACTCTTAACACCTTGAGATTTGACTCAGTTCTTTCCTTCGAGCAAGCAGGGCAATAACCTTTTCAAGGATCTTCTTGGTTCTTAGTATATTACAATTTCTGAGGTACTCTGTAGTTGGTAGGGAGTTCCCTCATTGCTGGGGGTGCCCTTAGCCCATGAACTAAGAAGCTTTAAAAAAATAGCCACACTTCTACCACCCTTGACCCCATCAGTTTCCTGCTTACCTGCTTCAGGGACAGGCTGGAAATTCCATTTTTCTGGAGTTTCAGGGAAGATCTTAGATAGATGCTTGTTGTACTGATTGAGGTTTTCCAGGAAAATACGGCTTCTCTTCTCACCAATGTGGTGGATGATCTGGACTCTATCTGTGAACAAAGAAACAGTGAGTCCCCAACATCTCACTCGTCCCTCATTTTCTTTTTCTTTTCCTTTCCTCTCTTCCTGGGTTTATACCCATCAGGAGTCAATTTTCTTTTGCATGAATCTAAGCTCCTAAAATTGAAGATTGCCATGCTGTGAAGTATCCTGTGAATGTGGTTTTTTGCTTAGAAATATCACAGCTGGTGGCCTCATAAAGAAGCTTCATAGAGAGGTTGGAGCCATTTTCCATGCTAATGCAGAAACTGTTTAACTTCTGGGCATCGTCCTCTATGATACTAGTAGTAAAGAAATGGCAGTTGATCTCATCACTAATGAATATTTTAGAATAGTTTTGTTAAACTTTGTAAGAATATCCAGATGACAGCAGTGTAGAAATGGGATGAGAGTTGGGAAGAAGAAACAGGCTGGAACACGCACACCCTGGAGACCCAGGCATCTCAGGACATCAAGGTGGAGGGGGGAAGTAATGAGAATTTACTGAGCACTTCTATGTGCCAGGCTCTGTGTAAGAAGTAACAGATGCTTTCTCATCTGCTCTGCTTAAAGTGCATTTTTGTTAGCATTATTTTATTTTATTTTTTTATCGGTACCGGGGTTCGAACTCATGACCGCACACTTGCAAGGCAGGCACTTATGCCGCTGAGCTAAATCCCCAGCCCCTGTTAGCATCATTTTATAAATGAGGTTTCTAAGGCTTAGAGGAAAATGTTCTGAAGGGTACTAAGGAGTTGAGCCAGGATTTAACTCCAAATCTGCCTGATTCCAATGTTGGTGACATCTTTTCAACATGACACCTTTGTTGGGGACTCTCTCAAAGTGAAGGAAGGAAAAAGAGTGGACAGAGAAGAGGTAGGCTGCTCCCACAGTCAAATCTTGCTGACCTTACAATCCCACCCTGCACTCCCTCCTTAGTAACACAGAGGAAAGGAAAGAGTGAACTCTGTCTTTCCCTTCAGAATTCACTACCCACCTCATCCCCTGTGCTAGTACCCGGGGATATATCATGCAAATCAGGAGCATCCAGGGCTTCTCATTTCCCTGCCCATGCCTGTTTGCCTGCCCAGCTTCCTACACTTCCCTGGTTCATGCCCACCCGTGCTCACCACAGGGCCCCAGTGTTATTACCAAAGTAAATCTCCTGTTCAAAGATGTTGTCTGTGGAGTAAGCAGTCTTTCCAACTCGAAGATTCACCTGTCGGAAGCAGCTCTGCTTTGGGGGCTGGAAGGTACTTTTCTTTTCCTTGATATCCTCAGCTGTTGTGTTCTTGCATGGCATGGTTTCAACTGTCTGTACTTGTGGGGAGTAGCTGGGCAGTCTGGGCAAGGGTAGAGAGGGAGGAAGGAGGAAAGGTAGGAGGTGCCCCACTTCCCAGTGGGAGCACAGCTCACTTAAGCTCAGCTCCTTCTCATGTGAGCATCTGAAGAACGCTAGTGTTTATTAACTTTCCCCCTACTGTCAGTTGAATATGGAACCACTGGAAAGGTTTGTCTTCATCTCCCTACCCTCTCCATGATGAAACCGTGCCTTTGGCAGCCACAATAGCATTATAGGGCAGCATAACAGGGCTTCCATACTCTCCCAAAAAACCTGTGTGTGTGTATGCACACACGCATGTCTAGTGCAGGGGATCAAACTGAAGGCTTTATGGATGCTGGAAAAGTGATTTGTCACTGAGCTACACTCAAGTCCATAGCACAACTCTTTCTTGACAATGTTCCCATAAAGGTTGCACAGCCTTGGGGACCCTGCCTCCTACATTACCTCACTCTAGTGTGGTGTGGTTGTTTAATGTTTACCCACCCAATAGCAGACAAACTCCTGAAAGGTACAAATCAGCTCTATTACACTGTAGTCCCCAGCACTTGGCAGACTGCCTGAAAACAGCAAAAATAGAATTTATATTTGCTCAATAAATAGTTAACTATTTCCACTTATATTTAATTCCTTTTTGGAAATCAGGGTTATTATAATAGCTCCAGTCTTCACTTTCATTATAAACAAGACACAATCTGAGAAATAGGGAATCTTACTTTCCGAGGTTGCTTGGTTCTCTGTCCTGTAGCTGCTTGCGGTTGGAGTCCAGTGACATACTGGCTCCTTTTTCAAAATGAGGCAGGACCATTCTTTAGTGTCATGAAGTGGCTGTCTTCCTTACTCTTACAATGGGTATATTTCTGGGATGCTTGGATAGTAACCGGATCAGCAATCTGATGCCTAACTTTGCTGAAGAAAGGCAAGTTCCTTTTTAAGGCAATGGTTCTCAACTGGTTGCCATTTTGCCCAGTAGAGACATTTTTTGGGATAGTATCTGAGACATCTTTGGCTGTCACAATTACTAGCATCTAGTGGGTAGAGATTAGGGATGTTAGCAACATCCTGCAATGTACAGGGATCCCTTTAAAACAACCTATTTGTTCAACCCAGCTTGTTGGTACAGCAGTGGCAAAGAAATCTTAATTTGGGGAGCTCTCAGACACCAGTTTGGTGGTGAACACATGGTTAATGGGAGACTGCATTCCAAAACAAGGGATATGGCCTGAGGTATAGCTCAGAGGTACAGTACTTACCTAGCATGTTCAAGACCCTGGGCTCAATCCCCAGAACAGCAGAAAATAAACAACTAAGGTAAAATACAGTAAGGTGTGTAAGCACACCTGTGAGTCCTTGAGGGGAGTCAGGGATTCTCAAAGGCGACCCAAAGCTTGGCCAACTACCTGTAGTAAACGGGAAGGAGGAGTTCTGGCTCTTTTTCTTTCTGGGGAGGCAGGGTGATACTTTGATCCTCAAACTCTGCTTCCTCTTCTGCTTCCAGCTGTTTTAGGAGCTCCAGGTCGCTGGCTGAGGTGAGCTCGTCCCGGATGTGGCTCCAGTCATACTGCTGGCGCAAGAAGCTTTGCCACTTGTTGGGTGATACTCCGGACCTCACAAGACGCTTGTTCTGGATCCAGCGGGCTGTGCGCTTGTTCAGCTTCTCCAGCACAATGGCCTCCCAGGCCCTGGCCTCCCTCTCAGAAGGTGGAAGCCAGATTTCCCTTTCTACATCTGGAGAACACGGCAGATCCAGCATACCTGGATTCTTTTTGGGAGATGGTATGTGAGAGTGAGATGGTTCCTGGACCACGCTTTCTGGCTTAGGCTTCTTTTGTTTCTTTTCAAAATGGGCGCAGCTTTTTGTCTTGTCAGCCTGGGAGGTGTCTCCTGCTACGGGTCCTGAAGGATGCCGGAGCCTGAAGCTGACAGGTTTCTCAGCTTGGGCCTTCCTGATGCAGGGAGGCTGGACGATGTCATTTGTGTTGTAGAGGTGGTCAAAGCTGTACTGGCTGTAAGGCATGCTGGGCAGCCCTCGCTGCCACATCACCTCTGCAGAGAACGACAGGTTTGCAGCAGCCTTTTTCAGATACCTGCTCTTGAGCCGTGTGCAACGCTGGGGGCCGAAGTGGGAGATGGGAGGCACACCGGAAATGGAAGCACACTCCTCCTTGCCTTTTGGTTTTGAGAGGCAGAAAGTCATTCCCCATCCAAACCGTGGTTTGAATGACTGAGGATGGGTGAGAAACATCTTTTCCTTTTGGGGCGTGGTCATATTGTTTCCCCCAAAAATGCTTTCTTTCACACTATGTAGTCCAGAGGCAGGGCCTGCGCTGTGACCAAGTACCTGTTAAGGTGATAGGAGGAAGTGATGAGAGCTGAGGTCAGCAGAATTTGGAAGCCCATAGAAGTACAGAAAGAGAATAGCTTGGAAGACAGATGAGAAGGGGAATGTAGTAGGAAGGGAAAGCCGTTTGAATTAGAAAAACAAAAGAAAGACATAGTACAACATTCTAAACATGTCTCATATCAGGCCCTTGCTTCCACTTCTCACATTGGTCCCCAAAGCTCAGACCTTCATCACTTATGAGGGATCACTGCTTTTCAATAGTTCCCCCACTTTCCTAGTTTTCTTCAGATGTTGCTTTTTCTCTGTTCAAAGGCTTCTAGTATAAAACATAAACAAATCAACCTGGCATTCAGAGTTTCCTCTGAGGAGGGCCTCAGCTTAGGACTTTGTTCCAGCATATAACTTTAGCTTGAACTAGCCAAATCCCCTTTCTGTTTTTTGAGTATTCTTCCCTCCATTGAGTGGGGCTTCTGCTTGTACCCTCTGTATGAAGTTGATTTTCTGGGGCTGGGGATTTAGCTTAGCGGCATAAGCGCCTACCTTGCAAGTGCGCAGTCGTGAGTTCAATTCCCAGTACCAATAATAAAAAAAAAAAATTGCTTTTCTGCCATACTTGAGACAAAAATACTTGACATACTTTACATTCTGTCCATTCTTTCAGACGCAGCTCTGTTCCTATGCCTCCACCGTGGCCCTTTCTTGCCACCTTGTATCTGAATAATTTATAAATCAGTCCTGGTCCATTCTGCTTATTTTAGCTGTTAATCCTACAACACCTCACACTGTTAAGTACTGGTTAACTGTACTGCCCAGCGATCACGTCTCCTGTTTCTTCTGTCCTTCAAGCCACCCAATACTTTTCTGTATTGCTACATGGCCTTCGTTGTTAAAATGCTCAAACTGTAATATATTTTACCAAGTAGGTTTTTCCATAATTATTGAGCAGGCTGTTTGTTGTTATCCAACAGATAAAACTGTAGGGAACGAGTGCTTAGACTTATTGTTCCATTTGGTTGTTTCTTTCTGGCACCCTGTTGGCCTAACCATGATAATTGATGACTAGAATACTATGCTTTGCTGAAGATACTATAATCTGGGAAGAAGTTGAGGCTCAGAAAGATAAGTAAATTACTTCAGATCGCCTGTCCCCTAATTAGGGAAATAAGATTTTTTAGCACTACCACTCCATAGCTCTTGACCTCCCTACCACTCTGACTTTAGCTCAAGCTCCACTTCTGCCATTCATATGCCGGACTTACGCTCCCAAGGAGAGGTTTCATTATTCTATGTCATTCTCTCTTTCTCCTTCCAATTCCTACCCTTCTTGCACAGCATCGCCAAGGTGCTCTTGCAGTCAAGATCTGACTATTCATTCCTCCATAAAAAGCAACACACCTCTTCTCTCCTTAGGATCTGATTTATCCCACTGTCTTCTAAGTATTAAACCTGACCTTGAAATTTTTCTTTCTGTTAAGTCAGTTTTCATCTTGATGTATCTAGACCAGAATTGGTAGACTTTTTTTACATACAAAATAACTTTGTTTTGTCTCTTCACCAAGCATAAAGGACATATGGTCACAAGAGCACTGAGTATTTAAATAGACTAAAAAAAATTAGGGCAAAGGTAAAGGCTTTCATAAGCCAATGTTTTTCCTGAAACAGTGCCTGCTTTTTGCAGGCTGCATATAAACTGTCAGATGAGAGCAATGCTAGTGTTCTTCTGACTTATGTGCATTGATTAGTAAAATATTTCACCTTTCCACACATCGGTGTGTATCTTGTTCCTAAGGCAGGGACATTTTGATCTTAAACACTAAAATCAGACTGAGGCCTGGTTTCACTCTAAGATCACTACATGTTTGAATGGAGTGAAGAGTCCCCAGATATATGTCTTTTAACCTGTGACATAAGGAACCAAGGAAACCTTATAACAATGCAGCCAGGTTTGGTAGTGCATCCTGTAATCCTAGCACTTGGCTGAGGTAAGAGGATTGAGGTGAGTTTGAGCTACCTGATGAGGTCAAGGTCAGCCTGCACTATGTAGCAAGACCCTGTCTCAAAACAAAACAAAGGCAAGAATATCATATTATCATTTTTAGTTACTGTATTATCTGTATATTCTCAAGGAATAGTTATCACCTGATATGATGGCTAATTGAGAAAGACACAAATGATAGATCCATTTTTTTTTTAAATGGAAAGGATGGGCAGGCAAAATAGAAGGTTTGGTTACAAGAGACTTGTTCTTGTCTTAGAGTTAGAAGACAGAGCTAAGGTAGGTTTTTACACTGCTCAGACAAATGATTTAATATTCTTGGTTTGGCAAGCTGAAAATAGAGAATATAGTATCTGTTCTAATTTGTTTCTAACAAGGATTCTGATACCTGTTGATCTGAAGCTCAGAACTGGAAATATGTTCAAAAATTCTTTGCATGCTAAAAAGTACTATACAAATGTGAAGAATTATTATTGCTGGTTTAGAAGGTGGATTAATTATTCTTAGGAGGCAGGTCCCTAGGTTAAGTTCATTAGGCCTAGAATTTAGGGGTATTGGAACATTAAACACTTCAAAGATGCTTAGAAAATGAAAACAAGGACCTATATAGGAGTTTGGGGGGATCCAGTTTATTACCTGGACCAGTTTTATGAAGCAAGGCCCACTGTCCCCCAGCCATCTAGAACCAAAAGCAAAATAGTAGATCCCAAATCCTTTTGTACATAGGCAACATAAAAAAGAATAGCCTGCAATCCTACCAGCAGCAAGTACCAGCAATATTTCTGTCCTTTTAGGAACTTGGGCTGGAAGGACAGGAGCCAGGTAAGAAGGGCAGGTCATGTGTTTCCATTTAGAATCTGATGAACTTTATAGATCCTCAACTGTAAAACATGCAAGTTGAATGGAAAGCCTTTCCCAGATCAGCCAGACACAGCAGCATACGCCTGTAATCCCAGCAACTGAGGAAAGCTGAGGAAAGCAAAATTGCATGTTCAAGACCAGCCTGGACTACATAGTGAGTTCGAGGACAGCCTAGACTGTACAGCAAGGCTCTGTCTCAAGAAATAACAACTGCCTATAACTGTATCTGACTATTCATTCCTCCATAAAAAGCAACACATCTCTTCTCTCCTTAGGATCTGATTTATCCCACTGTCTTCTAAGTATTAAACCTGATCTTGAAATTTTTCTTTCTGTTAAGTCAATTTTCATCTGACAATAACAAACAACTGGGTCATGTTTCCTAGATTTTGAATTTATTTTCACTCTTCTGTTTTCTTTCTGAGGTCCCTAGCCTCCCCTACTTGTTTCGTACTTGTAGCTAGGGGTTGTGAGGAGAACAATTAGAATCATAACACAGAATTTATATTATTATTTATAATGGTCACCCAGAGTGAACACAAGAAAGTGCAGGAAATCTGTCCACAACACTAAAGACATAGAATATTTAGCCAAGGGCCCGAATCCCACAGCAATGTCTTACATGAGTCCATATGAAGACCCAGAGCTCATGACAATGCTCCCACAAGTCCAACTGGAGGTCTAGAGCCCACAAAAAGGATGCATGCCAGTCTCTTTTATGGATCCATACTGAGAAGGCCCAAAGGTCAGCAGTGGAAGCTAGAAAGTCTATGGCAGCAGGGTGAAGAAGCTGTTCTGATAAATTGAGGATTCTATGCTGGAGCCGAGAAGTCATGCTCAAAACAAAGACCAGGCCTAAGGGGCTGGGGATTTAGCTCAGTGGCATAAGTGCCTGCCTTGCAAGCAGGCAGTCGTGAGTTCGATCCCTGGTACCAATAAAAAAGGAAAAAGACCAAAAAAAAAAAAAAAAGAAAAGAAAAAAGAAAAAAAACAAAGACCAGGCCTGTTCTGAAAAGCGCCACAGCCATCCTTAGCCACACAGGGGCCCTGAGTTCCTCTGATAATAAGCATAGTCGAGTACATGACAGGAAGCCAGTGTGATGAGTTTGTCCTGGAGATTAAATGGGACATGTCTTCCCCTCCAGAGCCAGGGAGCGATGCTTGATGTAAGGATCAGAGCTCCCCCAAAGTGAACCACAGCCACTCTCACCAACAAGGTCCCAAGCTCACCTGATGACAATGGTCAAACTCACACTGGGGAAGCTAGTGACGACAAGCTGCTTCAGGAGAACCAAAAGCTCAAACAGCAACACATAGGAGAACCCACAATGCCTAGCCTCTCCTTCTCCATGTCTCTATTTATACTGGCAACTTTCCTCAGGTGAAACATCTACACTCAGCACCATGCTCATTTAATCCAACTGGCGCTAAGTTGACTGCCAGTTTTTAATCCATAACCGTACTTTTATTGAAGTAGGTTGAATAATGTTTGCTAAAAGAAGTAATGTCTTATTCTTTTTGTTGTTTTGCCTTTGTGATTAAAGCAGAAGAAGGCTCTAACATTAGACATTTTCATGCTCTCATCTCCACCTCCAGTTCTAATTCTAAAGTCATGAAGTGGGGTCCAAGAGGACCAGTTATCCTCTGGGATGGGGTTTATTGGATGTGATTTGGGGATGTTATATATCAAGGTCATCTGAGGAGTTTGATAGAATCCAGACTCTTAGGGTTGGTTTGTTTGTTTTGAGACAGGTCTCCTGTTCAACGCTAACACAGACTTCTTTTGAGACAGTCATACCTCCAGAATGTTGCTTTAGTAGGCTTCTAGTGAGGCCTAGAAATCTGCATTTTAATAAGCTTTCAGGGGTTGTTATCAAATTTATGGAAACAATAGCCCCAAAGCCTATTAGTAGGTCACATAACGGAATCTTGGTTAATGAGGACAATAGCATTAAGCAACACAAAGTCATCCTGTGAGCTTCAAATCAGGCCTTTACCTCCTCTCCAAAAGTTCCTCTGATTTTTTTCCTTCTGCTTTCTAATTCCCATTTCTCAATATGCATTTACACTGCTATAAAGCAGTCTTCAGAGCTTACTCTAGAAGCTGTCATAGAAATCTGTTCCAATGCCCTTATTTTACGGGTTATAAAACTAGGGCCTAGACAGAAAGGACCTGACTAAGATCACAATCTCTGTTGGTATCTGAAATAATACTGACCCTCTGGACACCTAATACTAAGTCTTTTCAACTTATGATTTATTTGATACTAATTAACTGGTTTAAGATCCTAGTAAAGAAGTAGTGTTTTCAAATTACCTTCAGAGTAGCACCCTCCCACAGCACAGTCCTGAGAGAGAAACAAGTTATAACGGTACATAATATTTTAGATCTTTGGCTTCTTAAATTCCAAAGTTATTTATGTTGGTCACCTAGCAACCAATTGTTCATAGTTCTAGGGGGACTTAATTGGGGTATTCTATTTGTTAAATTTCTTTCTTTGTAAACTGAACTTTGAGAAATTGTATCTTCTTGGGGGAGGGGAGAGGGTGTACCAAGAATCAAACTCAGGGCCTCTCACTTGCAGACAGGTGCTATGTCGCTGAGCAACATCCCCGGCTCAAGAAATTGCATTGTACTATTCATGGATGGTTTAATGGATTTCTTAGTCATCCTTTGAAAAATAAGCCACTAGTGCTCTGCTGTTTAATACAATATTCTCCCCCATTGAGTTCAAATTTTTTTTTATTGAGACAGGGTTTCAATATGTAGTTCAGGATGCCCTTGAACTCCCTCTTATGGTTACCTTCTTGTTTCAGTCTCCCAAGTGCTGGGATTACAGGCATGTGCTTCCCTACTGGGCAGGGAATTCAGTTTTGCTGAGAAAAAGCCAAAGAACAGAACATAGGAAACAACGCAGCTTGGGCATTCTTCAGGTTTCCAGGCAGATAGAACAGATGGTGAAATAAAAGTTTTATTTAGGACCTTTTCTATTCCCTTCTCATTTCCTCCACTGCCACTCAATCTCTTCCCTCCATACAGTTCAATTCCATCCCCTTCTCCTAGATTATTTGTCCATTTACAAAAAAGAACAACTCTGTTTTAAAAGGAATAAGTAAATACAGTGATACCTTGACTATTGAGCTCAATTCATTTCAAATTTGTGCTTGAACACCAAAAAGTTCCAGAACTGACTATATTTTCCGTAAAAAACAATGGAAAACCAAATAATTGGTTCTGAGGCTCAGAAAAAAACACTTAAAAATTCATTTTTCCAGGGCTTTAAAGTTTCACAATGATTTTTAAAAATTTCTCTTATGGCTCTCACAGTTTTCACTTTAGCTTTATTGCTGGTATCTTGGGAGCAACTGTTAATGGTATTTATGCAAATAATGGCATAAAAAAGCAGTACAATAATGAATGTTTTAATGCACTAATACAAGTACTATATGTTGTCTGGGCAAGAGCAGAGCCTTACACTGAAATGTCACTCCTTTGTGAGTGACACAGACTTGACACATGATTTGTGATTCACTCTTGGCCCTATATGGGTTTTTTCCAGTTGGATTACAAACACCAAACAGTTTTTTTTTTCAAACTTTGCCATTGAAGTAGTGGAAAACTTGAGCTTAGAGCCATTCAACAACCAAGTATCACTGTAGTTTATTCTGAGCCAAATGTAAGCGGCAATAACCCAGGAACATGTATCAAGTCATTCTGAAAGACATAGTCCACTGTGGAAGAGTTTACATGAGTCTCTATAGTCACAGAGCATAAGAATATTGTAAGTCAATAAAGATACTTATCGATTACATTGGTGGGAATATCAGGCAGGTGGGCTGTAGCAATATAGGGAAATCTCTTCTGGAGAATTTAGTTGTTACCTTATAGCATTCTACTTTAGGGTTCATGAAGGTTAGAAGTGTGTCAAGCTTAGGGATCTGAGGATTTTGTGTGTGTGTGTGTGTGTGTGTGTGTGTGTGTGTGTGTGTGTGCCAAGGATTAAACTGACAACCTCATGCTTGCAGGCGGGCAACTGTGCCACTGAGCTAAATCCCTAGCCCTCTAAGAGTTTTATCTAGTGTGAGGAGGATATTAGATCAGATACAGAGGTTGATGGCAAGTGGTTATTAAAAGACACTAAAGAGCTGGGCATTGGTGAGGCCTGTCATCCTTAGCTACAGGGGGTGTATAGGTAGGGAAAAAAGAGACTAAGGGTCTCACTAGGCTCTATTAAAGAAATTAGTAGAAAATCTTATTATAAGTGGCTTTTAGAACTTGCTGTCCAGACAGCAAGGATCCAGGAAGGATCTGAAACACGAATTGAAGCCAAACAGGAGAGTGAAGAAAGAAACTTCAATGAAGAAAGGAGGTAGCCATAAAAGCCTTTTCCTTGAATTGGACTCACTGTATGAGAGGAGTGGTTCAAATTTGTTGACACATGGTGACTGCTGGAAAACCCAGAGGCCTCCACACAGAGATGTAGCAGTGGAAGGGAGCAGTGGATGTGGAGGACTACACTGACTGGTTGTGAGTGCTGGGGGTTGGAACATCCTGTGGTAAAAGGGGATTGGCTGGGAGCCATCTTGGAGCGGGTGGGCAACTGAGTTCAAAACTCAAAACAATTGCTGGCTCTACCTAGCACCTTCCAGTTGAGTTCAAGCCCTCAGAAAGTATGCTGACTACTGTAGATGAACAGGTCTGAGGCCAGCTTCACAACCAGAAACCAGCCTGAACTTTAGAGGAAATAAAGGTACAGGCTTACTGAGATTATCCACTGTCATGTCATAAAGCTACTGCTGGTTTTCTGGGATAAATCAGCATGGATCTAGACTCCGTTTCCACACATTTTCTACCAGTGACAGCAGAGACAAGTGGTCATTTTTTCCCCTCTTTTCTTGTTTTTGCTTTTTTCTCTTCATTGTTAGGTCTTGTTTTTATGTGTGTGAATGTGGATTTTAATGGGGTTTTTTGTGGTTGTTGTTCTGTCCTGTTCTTCCTTTTATATCTTTCTTTTTTTCTACTGTCTTCTGCATCAGTTTCTCAAGTTTGCACGATACTCCATTGTCCTTGCTTCCTTTTCTATTTCTTTATTTTTTCTCCTAATGTCTTTTAAATTTTTTCCCATGAGGTAAAATTGGCATAATGAGGACATATTTATGTCATATAATTTTCTGGTTTGTTTTAGATTTTGGTTATATATAACTACTATATATATATATATATATAACTACAAATCTAGTTCATATGGTTCAAAGTGACAAACATCATTTTGTTCTTTTCTAGGCTATGTTTGAAGCTATTATTGTTTTGTCTATACCACTTTAGCCAAAGTGACATAATTGTTCTAACCAGTTGTTCTTCCTGGTATTCCAAGACTGAGATTAGATTGCCTAAGGGTCATAGAAAATACTGTAGGTCAGTACCAAAAACCAGAGGCTGGACCAAGCAGGCAGTAACTTCTCATCCTCCCAAACAATGGAGAGGTAGGAATTTGCAACAAATTTGAAACCAAAAACCAGCCAGAACCAGAAGACACCTCTGAAAAGTAGCTACTTCCTAACAGTTCTAAATACTAGCAATTAAGCAATTCACTGTAAGCAATTTACAAGCCTTGGTCCTGGAATTAAACTAAAAAAAATAGAAATGAAAAGGCACTTAAACACGATGCAACCCCATTCATCTAGTTCATCAAAGGCAAACCCAGAGGGCAATGAGGAGGACAATCCCAAAGTCATCCACCTGGTCTCTCTGAAGTAGTAACAACAAGGCAAATGAACAAAGCTCTAGAAACAAATCAATGCAGGAATAATTTCACCGACAGAGAGATGGTCACCATAGTGAAAAACAAGCTTAGTGACTCCAGAGCAGATAAAGATTAAAAAAAATAGAGGAGCTTAAGAAAATGATGGAAACCATGAATGCCCAACATAGGAAATGGAATCCACAAACAGAATCAGTAAGATATCCAGGAGACTACAAATCCCATTGAAAGTATCCATAGCAGAATATATGAGGACAGCACCTCAGACATAGAATATAGGTTTGCAGTTAATGATCATGAAAAGAAAAATTTCTTAAAAATAGCAAGGGACCATGAGAAATCAATCCAGCAGCTGCTATATGATGCAAAAAAGAATAACATAAGATCAACTGGACTCAATGAGAAAGCAGGAGATTGCACAAATGATATAAAAAGAATCTGTTCACAGATACGGCAGAAAACTTCCCTGGTAGGGAAAAAGAATTTGAAATACAGATAAGTGAGGCATATGGAATTCCAATTAGCCATATTAAAAAAATCTACAGTAAGGCATATCATAGTCAAGATTCCAGAAATTTAAGACAAGCATAGAATCCTAAAAGCTGTTAGAGAAAATAAACAAATCACCTTTTAAAAAAGCCTATCAGAATCACAGTTGACTTCTCAATACAAACCTCCAAGTCAAGGAGAGCTTGGATTGAAGTATCTCAAGGCTAAAAGAAAACAGTCTCCAACCCACACTGATATACCCCGCAAAACTATCTTTCAAAATTGATAAGAGTAATAAGATACTTCCATGAAAAAAAAAAAAAAAACACCTGGGGAAATTTAGGTGAACACTAAACTAGCACTCCAAAATGTTCTGAAGACATTCTAGAGAGACATTACAGGGACTACAACTCCATGAACTCCAACAGCAGGAGTCCACAAGGCATGGCAAACAATTAAATGGGCAAGGAGGGAGCCAACAATAGAAAAATAACATGACAAGGATAGGTCAATACATATCAGTTACAACCATCAGTGCTAATGATCTCAATTCACCAATCAAAAGACACAGACCAGCAGAACTGGATCAAGAAGCAAGATCCAACAATATACTGCATATAAGAAAGATTTAATTAAAAAAATTTATAGACTGAAAGTCAAAAGATGGAAAGAAGTACTCCCTTATAGGAACCTAGAAAAAAAGAGGAGAAGCTTATTCTATTTGCAGATGAAATGGATTTCAAGCTAAGACTGATTAAGACAGACAAAGGAAGTCATTACATCCTTTTAAGGGGAACAATCTTAGAGGAAGGGATAATAATCATAAATATATATGCAACAAATATAAGTGCACCCAACTCTATTAAACAAACATTAACAGACATGAAAATTCAAATAAACACTAGTATGATTGTATTGGGGATCTCAATATTCCACTCTCACAAATAGATCATCTAGGAAAAAAATCAACAATGAAATATTAGAACTGAACCAAACATTTAAACAAAGTGGCTTAGTAGATGTCTATGAAGTATTCCACTCCACAATACCATAATACATTTTATTCTGTTTAGATTGGGTTTAGTCTGTTTTATATTATTTAATTTCAGTATATATGAAGGTATGGACAGCTATTTGAAGAGGGCAAGAGACATTAGAGTAGCCATTATTAATTTTTATATTGTCTGGTTTTGAAGGCCTTTAATGCTTTTATTCTTCTGTTTTGATCAGTTATATTATTTTGTTTTGCTTGAATTCATTACATGTGAAGACATGGGCAACTATTTAAAAGAAAACAAGAGACATTATGGTAGCCACTGTTGATCTCCTGTTGTCTTGCTTTGAAATCCTGTGTCACTTGCATTGTTTTGTTCTGATCTGCTTTGTTCTATTTTTATGTTTTATTTTATGCTCTTTAAAATAAAAAATAAATATCATAATATACATTCTTCTCAGTTACATATAGGGCATTCTCCAAAATTGACTACATATTCATAGGACATGCTTAAGTAAATGCAAAGGAACTGAAATTATCCCATGAATATTATCAGACCATAGTGCAATGGAATTGGAAATCCATGGCTAAAGAAACCACAAGAATTGCATATAGGGGCTGGGAATTTAGCTCAGTGGCATAAGCACCTGCCTTGCAAGCAGGCAGTCGTGAGTTCAATCCCCGGTACCGGCAAAAAAAAAAAAAAAAAAAAAAAAAAAGAATTGCATATATACATGAAAATTAAATGACATCCTCCTAAATAATCACTGAGTCACAGATGAAATTACGGAAGTTAAACAGTTTGTACAATTAAATGTTAATGCCAATACACACACTGGAACTTATGGGACACAATGAAAGCAGTCCTATGAAGGCATTTACAGCAGTGAATTCCCAAATCGGGAAAACAGAGTGAGCTCAAATAAACAACCTAATGTTGAACTTCAAGCTTCTAGAAAAAGATGAACAATTCAAGTCCAGTGCTCTTGGAGGGAGGAAATTACAAAAATTAGAGTAGAAATTAATGTATCAGAGACAAAACAATACAAAGAATCAATGAATCAAAGAGTTGGTTCTTTGAAAGATTAAATAAAATTGACAAACTCTTAGCTAACTTTAGGTTAAAAAAAGGAAGGTAAAGATCCAAATCCATGTAATGAGAAATAAAAAGAGTAAAATCACAATGAATTCTGCAGAAATTCAGAAGATCATCCATACCTATTACAAGAATTTGTATTCCAGTAAGATGGAAAATGCAGATGAAATGGTCAGATTCCTAGATACATATAAATTACCAAAGCTGAGTCAAGAAGATATAAAATTCCAAATGAACAAATATCTGTCAATAAAATTGAAGATATATTAAAAACCTATCAACAAAGAAAAGCCCAGGCCCAGACAAATTCACTGCTGAATTCTATAAAACATTTAGAGAAGACCTAACACTGTTACTTCTCAAACTCTTTAATGAAATGGAAAGGAAAGCAATATTCCCAGATTTCTTCTGGGAAGCAAGCATTACCCAAAATCCAGAGAAAGATCCAACTAAAAAAGAGAACTACTGGCCAATCTCCCTAATAAATATAGATTGAAAAAGCCTCAATAAGATATTGGCAAACAGAATGCAGGAAATCATCAAGAAGATTTTACATACAATTACTAAGTAAGATTCATCCCAGGGATGAAGGAATGGTTCAATATGTGCAAATCAATAAATGTAATACACCATATTAACAGATTCAAGGTAAAAAAAAAAGCCCATATAATCATCTCAATAGATACAGAAAAAACATTTGACAAAGTCCAAAACTCATTTATGATAAAGCCCTACAGAAAATTGAAATAGATAGTCTCTATTTCACTCTGATAAAAGCCATCTATGACAAACCAAAAGCCAACATCATACTAAATGGACAAAAACCAAAAGCTTTCACTCTAAAATCAAGAATAAGACAAGGATGTCCACTGTCACCACTCTTACTCAATAAAGTTTTTGTAAGCATTAGCCAGAGCAATTAGAAAAGAAAAAAAAATAAAAGAGATAAAGATAGGAAAGGTAGAAGTTAAATTACTATTATTTATGGATGACATAATACTCTACATAGAAGAACCCAAAACTCCACTGAAAGACTACCGGATTTAATAACCAAATTCAATGATATACTTGGACACAAAATCAACATCTAATAGCCTTTCTGTACACAAATAACAAACTGACTGAGAGACAAATTAGGAAAACAACACCTTTCACAATAGTATTCAAAAAGATAAAATACCTAAGAATGAATTTAATGAAGAAAGTGAAAGACCTCTACATTGAAATCTATAGTACTCTGAAAAAGGTGATTTAAGAGGATATCAGAAAATGGGATGATACCCCTTGCTCTTGGTAGTGAAAATGGCCATACTTCCCAAATCATTATACTGATTTAATGCAAACTCAATCAAAATTCTGACAGCATGTCTCACAGAATTAGAGAAAACAATCCCAAAATTCATTTGGAACCAGAAGAGATCTACAATAGCAAAGGCAATTTCAAAAACAAAGGAAAGGCAGGGGGCATCACAATTCCTGACTTGAAATTATACTACAGAGCTATAGTGATGAAAATCAGCATGGTACTGGCAAAAAAACAAAATAAAATTTAAAATAATAGATCCGAGGATCAGTGTAACAGATTAGAAGATGCAGAAACATCTCCAGACATACTCAGCCACCTTACCTTTGACAAAGGAGCCAAACACACTCACTAGAAGAAAGATAGCCTCTTTAGTAAATGGTGCTGGAAAAACTGGCTTTCCACATGCTAAAGATTAAAACAACTCATAATGCTCACTCTACACTAAACTAAAATTGAAATGGATCAAAGATGTAAATATTAAAACAGAAACACTAAGTCTGCTGGAAGAAAGAATAGAAAGAACTCTTTTTTTTTTTTTTCCTGGTCTTTTTGAGACAGGGTTTTGCTATGCAGTTCAGACTGGCCTTGAGTTCACTTTATGGCCCAGGCTGGCAGGCAGGTCTTGAATTTGCAGTGATCATTTTGCCTCAGCCTCCTGAGTGCTGGGATTACATGTGTGCATCATCATGCCCAGCTTAGAACTCTTGAAGACACTGGAATAGACAAAGACTTTGTGAACAAAACCCCTATTGCACAGAAACTATCACAAAGAATCATCTGGGATCCCATATTATGAAAAAGCTTTTGCATGACAAACAATGTGAGAAAAAAGTTTTACCAGTTGTTCCTCAGACAAAGATTACTACTTAAAATATATAAGAACTAAAAAAAAAAAAAAATCAAACTCCTCAAATTTAAAGACCTAGTGCAAAAATGTGCATCTGAAACGAATAGACACTTCTCAGATGAAGGAGCAGAAACTGCAATATATGACAAAAGTTAAGTTCATGAATTGAGATACATATATATATATATATATATATATATAATACATATATATATGTAACACATATATATGTAATATATATATATCTCCACTATAGGGTCACTATATTACTGAGCTACATATGCACTTATCCCCTTAATCCTTAATCAGCCTATAAATCTCAGAGAGAAAGGCCTGATAAGAACAAACAGGCAGGAAGAAGTCAAACAAAGCTCACCAAAAGAAATGTGCACATAGTCAGTGGTCCCTGCCTTAAGGTCTTGCACCATGGAATCTGTCCAAAGACAGTTCAGGGAGCCAATCAGCATGTGACAAGTTCCAGGTACCCACCTAGGAGGAAGGGTCTCTAAATCTAAAAAAAAAAAAAAAAAAAAAAAGGGACAAAGGCTTGTAGATATGCATGTCTTTTTCTGAATTCCTTGCCTTCTTGCTGAGGCAATTTGCTTGTCTTTTCTGCCTTACAAATCACCTTCCTTTCTTAAACTCCACTGCACTAATTCATTGTCGGTGATAAATTTTTGATTCTAGCTTGTTCACTTTGCTGCAATAATCTCAACTACTTGCAGGCTAAGGCAAGAGGATTTTGAATTTGAGGCCAGGCTGGGCCACTTAGTGAGACCCTCAAAATAAACAGTGAGGAGGTAACAAGGTATCTTTGAATCTCAATCTGCAAAATTCCATCTCTCCACGAGCACAGTGTTCTGACAGGCTAACATCAAGTAGTCTGTAGTCTCCTGACTACAGATGTGGCTTCTTCAGAGAACTTCAGTTCTCAAGCCAGTAACACTATTTTGATGAAATTCCTAGGGAAAGAAATTTCCTCAGTCCCTACACTGGGCAGAAGGGAAACAAGAGAGGGTTAGAGAAATCTTGATTCTTAAGCAGCTTCTAAGATTTTCCAATTTCCTTTCTTTCATAGTGCATAGGCACCGTGCTGTGGCCCATGCCTGTAAGCCCAGTTGCTTTTGAGGCAGAGGCAGGAGGATCCCAAGTTTGAGCCTAGTCCAGGAAACTTTGTGAGATTTTGTCTCAAAACAAAAAGTAAAACAATAAGATGAGGATGTAGCTCAGTGCGAAGTTCCTGAGTTCAAGCCCTAGTACCATATAGCTGCTCCCCAAAATGAGAAAAGGAAAAGAACAAGATATGCCCAACACATTAAAATATCGCATTCTGGAGTATGTTTTCTGAGCTCTAACAAAGACATCTGAGCCTCACCACTGGGCACAAAGTTTCAGTTTGTGATAAGAAAAAAATTCAGAAAAAAGGATGATGGTAATGATTGCACAGCGAAGTATACTTAATGCCCTTAATCTGTATAGTTAAAATGGGACATTTTGTTTGTGTTGACATGAAATAATGATTCTGTTTTTTGCTTTTTGGGTTTGTGAGGCCAGTTGTCACTATATAGCTCAAGATCTACTTAAATTCATAATCTTCCTGCCTCAGCCTCCAGAGTGCCTGGGATTATAAGCCTGTGCTGCTATGTGTGGCTTATAATTATGCTTTAAAGAAAATAGTGTATTCCCAAATCAGATATGTATGACCATGCCCAGGAACATGGATTCAAATTACCCTAAATGACATGTTCCATGTAGTTAAATGAAGTTTTCTACAACAGAACAAAAGAACAAAAATGAGTCACAAATCAATACATTTACCTATTACATTGATGGGGGCATAAGTGGGCATGCTACAGCCAAGGGAGGGAAACTCTTCTATAGATTTCAGATGCTATTGAGCAGCACTCAGCTTTAGGACTGGTGGAGGACAGGGATCTGCTGTACTTAGTGAAGTTTATTTATTAGTCATGAAACTGTTATGTTAGATACAAAAGTGAAGGTAAATGACCCCTCAAAGGCTTGCATAGCCCAAGATAATCTTGGTTCTTGACTAGGAGATTCCATCTCTCTGCAATCACAATGTCATTGCCGGCCAAGGTCATGCAGCCCACAGAATTTCACACCTAAAAGAAAGTCAAACTTTGTGTCATTATTAAAGGCAGTTAGGTTTCCTCATACAGATTCTGAATAAAGAAAATTAAAACTATTCATACTGCCTCAAGGGGCTAAGAAACAACAGTGTGGGACAGTTTTCCACTAACCTTTTCGTAACCTTAAAAAAGTTAAATATACTATTCTCTGACCTGCACCCCCCTTTTTTTTTGCCTTCATGAAAACTTGCTATATATACTATTGCCATGTTATTTTAAAAGGCTGTCTTTCCTCCCATTATTGGATTGCATCACAAATTACATCAAATTTGTATTTCTAGTTTGTTTCTAACATTTCCTCCATTAAAATACGATAAACTTCCTTGTAGCCAAATATTTACACACGTACACAAATGTTTACCTAGAAGATATTCCTCGATGTAGAATTAAGTCAAAGACAACTGAATTTTTTCATACAAATTTCTCTGAAAAGACTATGCTTGTATATGTACCAATATAAGCAAACATTTTCCATTTCTTCTCAACATAGGTCATCATTATGTGAGAAACAATTAAAAGACAATGGGTCAGTTCCTAGGCTGGGGATGTATGCCAGCACTTCCATTTTCTAGCTGAGTGATCTTTAGCAAATCAGCTAACTTCACCGAGCCTTAATTTTCTCATTTCTTGTAAGGGTTAAGAATTAGCTACTCTTACCCTTAGACTCCATGCACAAAATAACGCTTGTAGTATTCCATAGAACCAATATAAAAGCATCTAGAGCTACAGGGTTTGCATGACTAACCATTAAGATATGAAAACATTTGGAACTAGGTAAAAAGATTTATTTGGGAAAGCTATTGAGATTGGGAGTAGAGGTAAACACAATTAACATATTTCCAGGGTTTTTAATAACAACGACATAAAATTGTGCTCATAAAACCAAATACAAGGTCTTGGAAGAGGTCCACAGCTTAAGTTTGGTAAGCACTAGTTAGAATGGATAGCTTATAAAAAAAGTTTAAAAAAGAAGAGAAATCCAGGAGATAGCCTTTGCTTAAAGGAGCAAAAAGAAAAGCCCACTATAAAAACACTGTTTGGCTATTTTTACACCTGTATGGAATGCAGCTCAGAGGTCACAGGTTAGTAAAATGCCATGACCATTAGAAGTAGGACAGATGTAGAAGATATGCAGATAGATAACATACAAGGAAAACCCCATTACCCACATTTTGAAAGCAAAGACACAAGATAGGTAACAAGTGTGAATTATTCAACAAATGCAGGGTACATTCTGGTCCTGCAGTCTTCTTAGCCATTAGGAAATCAGCAAATATCACCTTTGCCAGGTGCCAGGTTAAGAGTCAGCTCTGGTCCAGCCCACTGTTCGCAGGCCAACGACCTCTTTAGGAGCAGAACTAAGAGGCAATCCCTGCCCCTCCCCTATATGAAGTGATTTTCAATGTGAAGATAGCCCGAAAGAAACTTGTTTTAGCTTTTGTTGATTGGCAGGGTATACCTCACCACGCTCCCAAGCACAGACTGGGCTGCCCCAGTGGGCCTGTAGTCTGCAAGCCAGCAACCTGCCGCTAGAGGATCTCTACAGTAATTTCTTTCTCGCTTTCCGGTTCAGTTCAAGGTCTGAAGTCAGGACGCAAAATGGGGGCCTTGTCCCTTGCTGTCCTGCGCGCGCGCGGGTTGCACCAGTGGACCCTGAAGAGTTGGGGGCGGTTTTCAGACCCTCCTCAGCTCAGGCTGAGTGGCCCGAGCACTCGGGCCCCAGTCCGGACAGCCGCGACGCTGAGCCTGGAGCCCGCAGGCCGCAGCCTCTGGGACGAGCCGCTGCGCATCGCCGTGCACCGCCTCGCCCCCCGGCAGCCCGTCACGCTGCGCGCCGCCCTGCGCGACGAGAAGGGCGCGCTCTTCCGGGCCCACGCGCGCTACCGCGCCGACGCCGCCGGCCGGCTGGACCTGCAGCGCGCGCCCGCGCTGGGCGGCAGCTTCGCGGGCCTGGAGCCCATGGGGCTGCTCTGGGCCATGCAGCCCGACAGGCCTTTCTGGCGCCTGCTCAAGCGGGACGTACAGACGCCCTTCGTGGTGGAGCTGGAGGTGCTGGACGGACACGAGCCCGACCAGGGCAAGCTGCTGGCCAGCGCGGTGCACGAGCGCCACTTCCTGGCGCCCGGGGTGCGGCGCGTGCCTGTGCGGGAGGGCCGCGTGCGGGCCACCCTCTTCCTGCCCCCAGGTGAGTACCCATCCATCGCCAGTCTTAAGTCTCCTTGCTTTTTACCAGAAGGAAGGAAGTGGCTCCCAAAGTCCCCAGAAGTTAGTGTCCTGGAGCTGGGAAGGGGAGGTGGCCCTGCTGCTGCCAGACTGACAGGTCCTTCCAGTCCTCTACTCAGTTAAAGAGTCCTGACTGAAAGAGAGAAAAAACTCTTCTAGTGACACTAATTTTTAAAAAACTTTAGGTAGGGAGTTTCAGTTTTTCAGTGTCCTTTCAAGAAAGTTCTCAGTCTTGCAACTTTTTTGGTCATTTCCATAGTATGCTAAGGTTTTTGAGACTTAGGAGTTCCCCCAGGAAGAAGTTCTCTGCTGTTAACTGGAAATCTGAGATTATTGGGTATTCTTATATTCAAAAAGAGCTATTGCCAGGCACCCAGAACCTGAGGCAAGAGGATCACTAGTTGAAGTTCATCCTGGGCAATTTAGTGGGATCCTGTTTTAAAAAGAAAATGTAAAAAGCTATGAATATAGCTTGCCTGCCACATACAGGTCTTAGGTTCAATCCCCAGTGTTGCACACTCACCCTTCTCCAAAGAAGCAAGGGGGAAAAAGAAAAACTTCCTAGCCTAATTAGTAATGAAGGAAATGCAAAATAAAACATCAGAGTACTTCCAGACAGGTGAAATATGAAAAGCTAACATTACCATTGATGACAGTTACCTCTGGAAGAAAAGAAACTCACCTGTGCAGCTTCAAAGAGTCTAAATGCTCGTCTACTCCTGGAAATAGTTTTTTGCAATTAATAACCCAGTTGGAGCTGTCATTTCATTCACTCATGGCATATCTGCACCAGGAGGCATATTTTGGAAGCAGCCTAGGTTTCAACTTTTGTGGAGTTGGTGAATAAATGGAATTGTGTTTCCAGCAAAGTGAGAACCACAGCTGCAAGAATAAGACAGTATTGGCTGAAACACTCAGCTCCCAGGAGGTGCATGCAGTGTCATTCCGTGGGAAGAGTAGGCAAAAGAAACAAAACGATGGTTAAGGCATATGTACAAGTGATGATACCTGAAGAGAATCAAGACACACACAGAATCCAGGATAGTTCAGAGGGAGAAAAGGAGCATAGATACTCAGGGACACAGGGACTGACCTATTTCCTAAACAGAGTGGTCTCTATCAAGTGTTTCCTGTGTTACTCTTTAAATTGCACAAATGAAAGACAGGCTTTCATATATCAATATGAAAATACCCAATACATAGACTCATCCAGAATGAATACATAGTAGCCCTTTTTAGAAAGCTTTTTGGTTACTTTTGGTGCTGGGGATCAAACCCAGGGCCCTGCACTGCTAGACAAGTGTTCCACGAGTGTGCTACACCTGCAGCCCTAATACGTAGCCTCTGAGTCTGTGTCCGTACATGTAGCAGAGTGCATTTGATATTCACCGAGTCTGTTCTGTGCACCAGTGTTTTTTGTTTCCCTATCTATATATGGCTCAGTTTGTATTTGTTCACTAAAGGACACTGGATTTGTTTGCATTAAGGGGGATTATGGATGAATTTGCTTGCTATATTATTATTATTATTATTATTATTAAGACAGGGTCTTGCTACATAGTCCAGGCTAGTCTTGAACTTGAAATCCTCTTGCCTCAGCCTTCCCAGTGCTTGGATTGCAGGCATATGCCACCAGGCCTACTATATAAGTTTTCATTTCTTATGAGTGAATGAGTAAATGTATGTTTGATTTTTAAAGAAACTATCAGTGCTTTTTCTTTTCTAACGTTTGGTGGTACTGGGAATTGAACCCAGAACCTTGTGCATGCTAGGCAAATGTGCGGCCACTGAGCTGTCATTAGCCCTTTAAGTTAGTTGTGAGACAGTGCCCAAGCTGACCTCAACTTTCAGTCCTCCTTTCTCAGCCTTCCAAGAAGCTGAAATTACAGGTGCTCACTACCACGCCTGGGTCCTGTCAACTGCTTTCTACAAACTGTACCATTTACATCACTACCAGTATTGTCTGCTGCTTCTAAGACCTTTGCATCCTCACTGGCAGTTGGCACTGTGGGTTTTGGGGTAGTAGGGAGAGCAACATTTTTGTTCATTTCTAACCATTTTTGTGATGCTGGGGCTCAAACCCACCGTGCTGTGCAAGTGCCCTATCACTGAGTTGGATCCCTGGCCCGTGAAGTATTTTTAATGTCAAAAGTAACACATGCAGTTTGTGACAGTCTGCGAGACTATGAGGCTCTGGGTACAGAGCGGAATGTGCATTCAGCCTGGGCTGCTCTGAATGTTTGAAGAGGTCTTTCAGCTGTTTGGTTTGTCAGTAGCAAAGTCAGTCATTCTCAGCTAGGCAACAAGTGGCTTTTGCTGCCACCGCCAAGTGTCAGCAACAGTTTCCTATTGTATTTTCTTGTGTTTCTTTCTAAGAACCTGGACCCTTTCCTGGGATCGTGGACCTTTTTGGAGTCGGAGGAGGCCTGCTGGAGTATCGAGCTAGTCTGCTGGCTGGGAAGGGCTTTGCTGTGATGGCTCTGGCTTATTATAACTATGACGACCTCCCCAAGAGCGTGGAGGCCATGCACCTGGAGTACTTTGAAGAAGCAGTGAACTACCTGCTCAGTCACCCCGAGGTTGGCTCTTGTCTGAGTTTTAGGGGCTGTCCATCTCACCTCCTCCCCACATGCCCTTGACTTCACCACATTCAGGACTGCTCTTTGGTATCCCAACACCCAAGTCTCGTATACTCACTTCGCATAGACGCATCTGTGTTCTGTATGGCCAGAAGGTTTCCTGTTAGTAAAGATGTTGGTAGTTGTTATTCTGGAATTCTGAATTGCAGTATGATGCAGTATTTTACAATGAACCCAGACACATTAGAGCATCAGGGACTGACAAAGAAATGAGGAGAAAGAAGAAGATGCCCCCTTTAAGGCTTCGTGTTCTACAACCTTCTCTCCGCTGAGCCCTTCAAAAGCCCTGGGTTAACTTTACAGAAGGAACTTGTGGCCAGTATGTGGTACCAGGAACGTCTTGAAATTTCTTTCCTTTTTGTTGTGGTCTTGGAGTTTCTGTGCAGAGAATTTTATAGGTTAAAGAGATAATCCTTGTTTATTTTAGACTTGAGTCAGTGCCAAATGTGAATGGAGGCCTTAGAAATTAGGACAGGACACAGCGAAGGCAGTGCAGATGTATATAGAGACACAGGTAAATTTGGGATTTGATTGGGGCCATCAGTCCTGCCACATGCCACTGGTACTTTGTTTTCCCGTCCTACAAAACAGCACCTCATAAATTCTAGGACCTATTTCCTCCAGGCTCTTTCTCCCACCCCCTTATTCCTCCTTGTGATCTCCGTGTATCAGCGGAAAACTGTGGCTGTCCAGAAGAACCTCTTATTTTCTCACTGCCATGCCTACCTAGTTCCCTGTGAACTGGAGCCCGACATCCCTCCATCCTCTCCAAGGCCACTCGTTTCCTTGAGCCCAGGATTCCTGGAGGGCACTGAGTGAGGAATGGAAGCAAGGACAGTAACTGTTTCTAGGGCTCAGTCCCTCCATGGATGGGAATGAAAGGGAGCTCAGTCAGCACTGATGTTGATTTTCCCTTACAGCGTTCACTCGCAGTAATGCAGGTGTGGAGGAAGCATGTAGGTGAATTAACCAGGGGCAACCCTTTTCCAGGCTGGTCGGGCCAGAGAAAGGAGATATGAACGGAGGTGAGAGGGCATCCAGGGAGTGATTATGCTGATGAAAGGAAATCCAAGCCAGGGGAGGCAGGAAGAGTGAGCCGGAGAGAGACTGACAGAGAAGTGAAGTAGTGTGACTCAGGACTCCAAGAGGTGGAAGGTTAGAAACGTTAAGCCTGAGGATGGAAGGGGGTGAAGAGTGTGAGCTGCTTGAAGCTGAGATTCTGGAGAGAGGTTCTTATGGGTGGTGACGGATTTCAGTTAGAACAAGGGAGTGGATGGCTTTGTAAGAAAGAGGAAGAGGTTCCAGGAGGTAGGGAGGGTCAGGAACTGCACAGGAAAGTGCATCACTGAGAATGGTGATGGAGAAATTGTGGGAAGGAAAGAGATAAGGAATAACTAAAGCTGTCTTGGTTGTGATCTAGAGAGTAGTCAAAGCCCAGAGCTAGGCTCAGGTCCACCTGAACTGCAGGGTGGGCAGTACTCAGTGTATCACCTCCCCATGGACTCAGCATGCTTGCTCTCTTTGTGTCCTTTTCTCAGGTAAAGGGCCCAGGAATTGGGCTGCTGGGGACTTCCAAAGGCGGTGAACTAGTTCTCGCCATGGCCTCTTTTCTGAAGGGCATCTCGGCTGCCGTCATCGTCAATGGCTCTGTAGCTGCTGTCGGAGGAACCATATACTATAAGGATGAGTCTGTACCTCCTGTGACTGCCATGAGGAATCGAGTCAAGATGACCAAAGATGGCATCATGGACATTGTGGATGCCCTGAAAAGCCCTTTGGAAGAACCAAAGAGCTTCATTCCTGTGGAAAGGTCTGACGCCACCTTCCTGTTCCTTGTAGGTCAGGATGACCACAACTGGCAGAGTGAGTTCTATGCTAGTGAGGCCTCCAAGCGCTTGCAGGCCCATGGGAAGCAAAAGCCCCAGGTCATCTGTTACCCAGAAGCTGGGCACTATATCGAGGTGCCTTATTTCCCCTTGTGCAAGGCTGCTCTGCACAACTTGGTGGGTGCTCCTATCCTGTACGGAGGGGAGCCCAGGGCTCATGCCATGGCTCAGGTGGATGTGTGGATGCAACTGCAGGCTTTCTTCCATAAAACCCTGGGCGGTAAAGAGTCAGGTGTGTCCTCCTGAGAATATAACCCATTTATTGAAGTTTTTAACGTCACATTAGACATTCTTGAAAGTTTTAGTTCATTTAAAGTATTTAACTTTTTTAGACATTTATTTTTTCCACCTATGAAGTATCAGTATTACAATAATTTCCATAAAGTAGATTTCTATTAGTGAATAGGGAACAATTAGAGTCTGTACTTTTTTTTACAAATTTAAACTTGCAACATTATAGATAAAATTACTGTTCTTTGTAATTATTCAACTAATGTCACTCTCATTACTGCCCTTTCCCCCAAGAAAACCTTCGGTGTTTATTTCAGTGTATTTTTATTAACATGCATACCTGTATGAATAAAACTTTATTGCGGAATAAATGCTCTTTTAATATGAATATTGATTTAAGAAAACAAATGTTGTGAAATGAGTAGTTTTTATGTGACACAAATCCTGTGCTGTCATGATACAATAGATATATCATCATTTTAGTCCAAGAAAGCATAAAGCAGTTGGGAAAGAAACCAGTGTTTGCAGGACACCTCTGTTACACCAAACACCATTCTGCCAGGCCAGTAAGAGGTATGCAAATCAGGCATGGTAGCACATGCCTGTAATCCTAGCATTCAGTAGGATGAAGCAGGAAGATTGCTGTGGGTTTGAGGGCAGCCTGGGAGTACAAGGCCAACCTGAACTGCGTGCATAGTAAGATCCTGTTTAGAAAAGAAAAAAAAAAAAAAAAGAATGCATAGAAGCAATAGCTGTCCTCCACACCTTCTCAAATGTGGAGGCATTTTTTGCTGTTAACAATCCATTAGCCAAAAAGAGATTACAGTGCCAAAACCCATCTAAATGTCTAAAATTCAGGTGTCTATATTTTGGGAATATCAACCAGCATGATTATTTTACATAATGAAGTAACAAGGCTTTGGTTTTTAATAGTTATATTTCATAGACTATGTTTATTCTTTAACTAAATTTATTCTTTGAAAGTCCATGTCTTTTAAGAAAATATTTACGAGTAATATTTCAAGGAACATTTATGACTACAGGAAAAAGTGTGAATAAAATTTAAATGTAACAACTAAATCCTTTTGTTTCTTAATATGGATCATAATTTATAGCATCCTCTTTGGGCTCATTATAGAATTTTAAAATTGCTACATTACTAAGCATCCTGCTTCAGATTTCAGCATCTAAACAAAATATGACATGGTGTCTTGCTTACTTTTCTCTCACTGTTGAGACAAAATACCTGACACCCACAGTGAAGCAAGGAAAGGTTTGTTTGCCTTACAGTGTTTGGAGGTTTCAGTCCATACTCTGCTGGCTCCAAGGCAGGGTTGTGTGGCTGAGGGGCAGCTGTTTATGGCAGCTGTAAGCTGCAAATGTGAACAGGGCAAAAGAGAAAAAACATGTTTTCTTCCTTCCCTTATATGGTATGCTGTCTCTGCCCCTGGGTGGATAAAGCACTCACATCACCAATCTCAGCACTAGAAAATGAACCAATCAAACACTAGATTCAGCCACCTTCATGACTGCATGAGGCTTGGGGGGCCACCCAGACACAAACCATAACATGGAAAAAGCTCTCAACTAAGGGTGTTAGGAAGTGGCTTGTGGTCTTTAGCTCTGTATATTTAGGACTGAAAAACAAGGAAAACTGAAGCTAAAACTCAACCCTCCCCAAAGATTATTTTTTTCTACATGAAGAAAATGTTATGCATAGTTTTCCACCTACATTGGTAGGCTCAGGAGCATAATAGTAGGTAGATGGCTTTCTCTGTTTGCCTTGATGACTGTGCTTTCCACAGCACAGAGACAGGAAAAAAAAGTGCTCTAAGTAATAAATATCTCCATGGAAACTGCTTCATCATTCATCATGCTGTTGTCCTATTCATCTTAAGAGATTCTGGAGCAGGATAGAGAGCCTTTAAACAGAAAAATGTAGGAGTGTGGATGATTCTATATCCTCTGGACATTAGGCCTTGGAAATACACAAAGAGGATAGGATACTCCTCCCTAATCCCTTCTGATATTAAGTGGGGGTAAAAATAAGAAGGCATTACATGGAAGTATGGAGATGAAACCGCAGAATAAAGGTGTGTTAGAGTAATTAATTGCAAGAGCCCATTATAAAGTGAAGCCAAGCAAATGCAGACTTTAATGGTGTAGTCTATGTGATGTATAAATGGGAATCCATTAGTCAAATGTGAACTGGTACAGTAAATCCTTGACTTGAGGAAGAGTGCCATTCCAGGAGAACGTGAGGCGGATTTGTTTGTATCTGACAAAGTGAGTCTTACACAGTACCCCTGTGAGTTTGCCAGTTGAGTAAGTGGGAGACTTTCTGTACTGGTTGAAGAGGTCAGAGCAAGGTGAAAGAGACTGCTTTTTTCCCCTACTATAGTAAAAATTCTTCTATATATCTGATGAATAAGTTAATTTTCCAAAAACTGATGTATTAATTGTAACAAAATCATCATTGTCATTGTCATGATCATGATTATTTTTTTCCAGTGGTGCTATGGATTGAACCAGGAGCCTTCTACCGAACAAGCCAAGTGGTCTACCACTGAGCTACCTCCCCAGGCTTGCTTCAACTATTTTATATTTCCTCTGATCTTTCAAACCTCCAACATCTTCTCTTCCATACTCACTGATAGCCAATGACTTCAACTTACACAAATTCTCACATCACATTTTCCACCTAGGAACATCTGTGCTCATATTCTGCCGTCTTTCCTACTGTTACAGACCACTACTTCACGTTCCTATCTTGTTCCTTTTCCACATGCATAGCATTGTCTATAACATCTTATCTACTAAAGGACACTGTTCCAACAGTTTTCTTCTCTTTCTCTGGGTATTATTGCCATTAGCATAAGATATGGTGTTATTTATCTTGTCTTAGACAATCAAATAAAATGAAAAAACAGAAAACCCCTCGGCTCCATCTCCTTAGAATTTTCACTATACTTCCCTTTAAAACTTTCAGAAAAATTATCATCTATTTCTGCCTCTAATTCTTTTCTTCTTATTCTAAATTTTCTTTTTTTCAGAGAATAAAAGAAAAACAGAAAAAGGGCAAAAATAATACAGAATTTCAAAAGCCATAACAGTAAGAAATGACTAGTCAAAAAAAGAACACTAAGAAATCGTTAGATGATAAATTAGATACTGTTATTTTAGAAGTAGTTGTTCAAGTTAAAAAAAATCAAAGCACAGAAAATGAACAGACTGGGATCCTGGGAAGATGGCAGAATAGTAAGCAGCAAAGTAAACAGCCTCTCTGGGAGAAACAGTCCAGCGTTCTGGACAAGAGAAGAAGGAAGTGGATCCCACTGGCCCAGGAAGAACCTAGAGTGAGAATTAAAGACCACAGAGAGAATAAAAAAAAGAAAAACATAAACAGGAGAAGACAGTAGCTGGTGGCGCTTTTACTCAAATCTGGAACCACCATGCAAGAAGTACTGTTGGAAACTGGGGACACACAGTCACAGTGAAGAGGGTGACTGGCAAGCTTGAAGACCTCTCCAGGGAGAGGTGATTGCAGAGGGGAGCAGAGGACCACACTGGCTGGTGGTGAGTGTGGGGGACTCAGTCCTCCGGCGGGAGTGGGCGATTGGTCTGGGGCCATTTTAGAGTTGCTCAGACAGAACTGCAGCCCGCTTCATTTTGCCACTCTTAGCTCAGAGCTGACTGGTAGAAATTGCTTGGACTGAGTCCCACCCCTGTGCACAATCCCACACTCACCTCCAAGGTTTCTCTAAAGCCATCCCCAACCAGCTCTGCCTGCCATGTGCATACTAACATGGTGAGGGCTCTTTGCAGTTAACCAGCTCATAAAGGAGATGCCAGCCTGCCCCGCCCAGCTTGCACTCCACCAGCTACTAATAGCCCTACACCAGCACACTCAATGGTCACCATTGGATATCCCTAGCCAGCATGCTTCAGAGAAATTATAACTAACACAGGAAGTGCCAGGGACCCCACTACCCACTTGTCTGGAAGAAACTAGGAATGTGACAAGGGGAAGAAGCAAAAGGCAGTCTCTGGCCTCCAGCCCAAGCAGTACTGGTCCAAGAGACACACCTGAAGTTTCTGAAGCAATAGCAACTGAAATAAAGAAACAACTTTAAGAGGATATATACAAACTTAAAACATACACATTGTCTCAGGGGCTGGGGATTTAGCTCAGCAATATAAGTGTCTGCCTGGCAAGCATGAGGTCATGAACTTGATCCCCAAAAGCAAAAAATGAAACAAACAAAACAAAAGAAATATGACCTCAGGTAAAAGAAGAAATGAGAAACATAATAAAAGAATTGTTAAGCACCTCCGAGAAGACACAGATTGAAGAATAGAACATAGAAAAATGAGGGAAACCTTCAATAAGGAATATAAAAACGATTTAGAATACATGAAACAGATTCAAAGAGATTACAAGGAAATTAAAAATTCCATTGAAAGCTGGAAAAACTGCTTGGAAGAAACTAAAGATAGACCATCAAATCTTGAAGACAAGTTTTCAGCAAAAGGAAAGATCTCTTCAAAATAACAAGGAACCAGGAAGCAACAATACAAAGCCTAGAAGATAACAAGAGGATCTACAACTTAAGAATAAAAAATGTGAGTGAAGAAGCAGGGGTAAACGCAAATGAAATACAAAGGCTATTTACAGAAATAATTTAGGAAAACTTCCCAACCGTAGGAAAAGGAAATGATATTCAGATAAATGAAGCATACCGAACTCCAGCCATAACCAAGATAGATGTACAGCACACATATAATAATCAAGATCCCAGAAATTCAAAATAAGATCAGAGTATTAAATGCTGTCAGAGAAAAGAAACAGATCACCTATAAAGGAAAACCCATCAGAATCATGAGAGACTTCTCAACACAAACTATCAAATCAAGAAGAGATTGGAGTAAAGTATTCCAAGTCCTGAAAGAAAATAACCTCCAACCCAGATGGATATATTCTGAAAAACTATTTCTCAAAATTAATGGAGAAACAAGATGCTTCCATGATAAAGAGGTACTGGGGGAGTTTGTGATCACCAAAACAACCCTATGAAAAATACTGAAGGACATTCTAGACAGAAAAAAGACCATGGTTTCAGGAACAGTGGCAGAGGGGGCTCACTGAATGGGGCAGACAGTGGAATGAAGGAGAAAAGTAGACAACCAACAGCAGAAAAATAGCATGGCAGAGATGAGGCAGAGAAGGTTGGCCATAATCACTAATATGGATGGCCTTGATTCACCAGTAAAAAGAAACACAGGCAGAGTGGATCAGGAGTTAGGGTCCATCAATATGCTTTATATAAGAAATACATTTAACCCAAAAGGAGGTTTATAAACTGAAAATCAA